TTAGATGGGCTCTTCGAGGGATTGAGAGTCAAGCGCCCAGGGGCTTAGGGTTTACCTTAAACCCCACGTAACCTACCCTTTTAAGGACTTAGTAGGTTCCTTAGGGTCCGGGTAGGGGTTCAGGGCTGAGGGTTCAGAAGCCTCAGGAGCTGAGCTTCAGAATCATAGGGATCCTTAGGGGTGTAGGGGGAGGGGGGGTAGGGGGCCTTAAGGCCCATAATAAGGACTAATAAGGCCTATTTAAGGAAATATAGTCCCCTACACCCCTCCCCCCTACACCCCTAAGGATCCCTATGACAGAAGGAAGCGCAGGGCCTGTGAGCCCCAGCGCTCCAGGCGGGGATGCTCGCAGCTTAGACTCTCGAGCTCGGGGCTTTAAGGCTCCCGTAGAGCCCAAGACCCCTTAATTAAGGGATAGAGCTTAAGTCATAATATGAAGCCCCGGATGATTTAAGGCTTGAGGTATATTCCTTGACTAAGGGGTATAGAAGCCCCCTAAACCCTACATCCTATAGATCCCCTAAAGGAACCCTAGGCCCTAGGTATATTCCTTAACTAAGGGGTCTTGGGCTCTCTGAAGACTTGTCCATGGATTTGGGAGCTCCTAGCTCAAAGCTCCGGGATGGGGGTCGGATGTAGGGTTTGGTAGGATTTAGGGTTTAGGGTTTAGAGTTTAAGGTTTTTTTTAGGGTTTAGGGTTTAAGGTTTAAGGGTTTAGGGTTTAGGGCTTAGGGTTTCAGGCTTCAAGTGAAAGCTTGGGGTTTAGGCCTTCGAGACAGGGAAACTCGAATGCCCCGAAAGCCCTAAAGCCCCAAAAGTACCACAAGACAACCCTTGCACGCTTGAAAAGCTCCGCCGCCAAGCCTGGGTTTAGGGGCTTAAGGGTTTAGGGTTTAGGGCTTACCCTATTTGAGGCTTCAGCTTAGGGCTGTAGGGTTTGCTGCCTGCGTTTTACTTGCTACCGCAATCTCCCTACAGCCGGGTGAACCGGATGAACAAAGCCAAAACCCCCGCATCTCATATCCTAAGCCCTGAGCCCATGCACTCAAAAACAAACGAAACCCTCAAAGCCTCAATGCCGAAACTCACAAGAAAGAACCCCAAACCCTAAACCCTACGAAGCCTGGATCCTCGGATACCCTTGGCCTTCAGTGACTTCAGCGCTGCATCGATGCCGCTCGGCATCTTGCGCCAAAGCCTTCAGGTCTTGGGTGGGTTAACTTGGAGGTTCATGGGTAGTTATAAGTGGGGATATAAGTCCCCGAAATATGGGTCATAAGTATAGCTACCCTACTTATAACTACCCATGAACCTCCAAGTAGGCTTGGGTTCGGGGATACATTTAGGATTCCGCTTGGGCGCGTAGGGCTCGCATTCTGCCACAAAACGCACCGGGGTTGATAAGAGGATGGAACATGTTTCCTAGCTACCGAAGATCTTCTGTTGGGTGCAGGGCCTTGGGGGCAAAGCGATATGTTCAGACATCCTTCTCAACTAAAGCCGAGTGTGCTTTTAGGGTTTGATGGTTTACAAGCCTAGGGTGTGAAGTTCACGGTTGGGGGGTTAAGGCTTAAGCTTCAATCCGAGGCTTAAGAGCTTAGTGCTACGGGCTATGGGATTTAAGGTTTAGGAACAGCGGAGCCCCTAACTGCGACCTCCCGGTCTCCATGCACAAGTATGCCACGTGTGTCTTTGTGTGTGTATATATATACACATACATATACATATACATATACGTATACATATACATATACATATACATATACATATACATATACATATACATATACATGTATACATGTACACATGTATACATATATACATACATACATGTGTATATATATATATGTATATGTATACGCATGTGTGTATAAATGTACAATAACCTGCACGCCTGTATCATGATTACTCATGCAACTAAGATTATCTTACATATTTGGCTGTTTATGGACATACATTTGCACATATCCAGAAAAAAAGGAGCTTGTTTACATGTAACTATCCGCCGGTTTGTGAGTCTCTCGCATCTGTCTAAATATTGCGAAACTGCTCTTGCTGATTCCTTCTTTTGTTGGGTTATCAATATCTGCATACCGAGGTATGCACTACACCCTAAGCCCGAAAGCCGAACCCGTGACTCTTGACTAAAGCCTCAAACCCTGGAACCTCTGGAAGAACACTGGTCATAAGACCCTGATACAACCGCACGCGAAAAAAAAGAACTCCAGAACCAGTGTAAATCCTATGCCTAACAGCCTAGCACCCCCAAACCCTAAAACCCTAAACCCTTAACCGCAAGTCGAGGCTCCAACGGGGGGCAACGAAGCCCCCCCCCCAGTGCGAAGCTCGGTTTTGGAACTCGGCTTCTTTTGAGCCAAGGCTGCAAACAGCTTGGGGCGGTAACGGAACAACATACTATACTTGGAGGTTCATGGGCAGTTATAAGTGGGCTTACAAGTCTCCTAATGTGGGTTATAAGTTTTGCTACCTTACTTATAACCCTACTTATAACTACCCATGAACCTCCAAGTACTGTATACTTTATATAAGGAACCCCCAAAACGGCAATGGTCATTATTTGGGCCCCTATATCACTCGCTCACCGCTTGGGCTAAAGCCCTGCTTTGATCAGGAAGCATCCATCCTATCTCTCCTGAATCCCCCTCAACCCTAAACACCCTAAACAGGCACCCCTCAGCCACGAACCTGCAGCTACACACAAGAGTGCGCTGATGGAGGAAGCAACCATCAACTCCTCTTGAATCCGAATGGCAACTAAGCCTATATAACCCTAAAGCCTAAACCATCCTAAACCCTAAGCTTCCCTAAACCCTTACCCCAAACCCGAAACCCGTAAACTGAGCCATTGCCGGCGGTGAGAGTAGCTGACGACTGCCAGAGCGAGCTAGTAGCCAGTCGAGTTACCCCTTCCGTTGGTGCTGGCACCGAAGTCCAAGCCACAAAGTTCGATCGCGTAGCAAGCCATACCAAGTCATGTAACACCCTACCCGACGAAGGTCGTAAACTGGGTGCATCGGGCGCGGTTGGGAGAGAGACGTGCACCTGCCCCACAACACGCCCTCAACCTTGAAGCCGAAGGCCCTAAAAACCCCCAACCCTGGCCCAAACCGCAGACCCCATGCAGGGAAGGCTGAACCCTGGATCCCGTCAGGATGCAGTGCCCAACTTACCTTTGGTTAGTAGGGAATGGAGGAATGGGGTACAATTATAACTACTATTACTACCATTCTTCCATTCCTTACTAACCAACAGTAAGGCAAGTGAAGAGCCGGGGGGCTCAAGAACTCAAGCTAAGTGCTGAAATCCTACGGGGAGGGGCTGGGGGTTGATCAAAATTATGGCCCCTTTTTGGTGTCTGCATTATAGTATATTCCTTCTAGTTTAGGGGACCAAAAGGGGCCCATAGTTTTGGGGTCTGGGGCTTAAGTCCTAAGCTTGGAACTGCGGGCCGCACACCCTACAACATCCTGCAACCCTATGGACTGAAACCCCGGTACCCTACATGGGAGTTTCCGAAAATTAGGGGTACCTTATTTGGGGGTCCTTATAATAAGGATCCTAGTATTTAGGGTACTATATCAGGGTCCACTATTTTCGGAAACTCCCACATCCCGAAAAGAGGGACCATGAACGGAGTTGGGACTCCCGGCTTAAAACCCGAGACCTAAACTCAAAGTCCTCATTCAACACCATACACAAAGAGACATGAATCCTGAACGGCCGGGAGTTTAGGGACAACCGACAACTCTGAAGATCTCGACGGTTGGAGGCCCTTTATCATAGGGACCCTTAGGGTTTAGGGTTTAGGGTTGCCAGGGTTTGGGGTTTAGGGGGGAGGGGGAGGTACGGGGCCTCAATGCCCACAATCAGGACCTAATAAGGGCTATTTCAGAGAGTACAGTACCCTACCCTACCCCCCTCCCCCATACCCCCTTCAGGGTCCCTGTGACTTAAAGCCTGTTCCAGTCCTGGAACATGGAGGCGGCGGTGTCCGGCACGCGGCACATGGACAGCACATGGTTCAGGCCCGCCTCATTTACGGCTTCGGCTTCAATGCTTCGGGCCAAGACTCTCCCTCAACGAAGCAACATTCGCTGCGTGACAGGCACCACTTGGAGGTTCATGGGTAGTTATAAGTGGGGTTATAAGTCCCCTAATATGGGTTATAAGTTATAAGTGTAGCTACCCTACTTATAACCCTACTTATAACTATCCATGAACCTCCAAGCAGGCCCTAAACCCTATACCCTTATAGAATCCCTATAGATCCCCTTAAAGGGACCCTTAAAGGACCCCTTACAACTACCCATGACCCTCCAAGCAGAAGCCCTCAACCAAGGGGGGGGCTTTTCAGGCCCCGAGGAGTCTTGGGTTGACCAGATGCAGGGATGGCCTATTCGGAGGATGTAAAGTTCGGGGTTTAGGGTTGAAGGTTTAGGGTTTAGGGGTTTAGGGTTCAGGGTTTAGGGTTTAAGGTTTAGGGTTTAGGGTTTAGGGTTCAGGGTTTAGGGTTTAAGGTTTAGGGTTTAGGGTTTAGGGTTTGGGGTTTAGGGTTCAGGGTTTAGGGTTTAGGATCAGCACACCATGACTACCACAAAAAACAGCTCTGATGCGGCACTACGGGCGGTACGAAGAACCCACCCGAACGGTAAAAGAAGAAGCAGGAGAAGAAGTTACTATTAGCAGGTGATTGGACTGCTAGGCCTCTACGCACTCGGTAACACTCAGTGATGTCAATGTCGCTGAGAACCGTAAACCCACAGCGAATTAGCGTAGTACTTTAGGGCTCGAGGTTTGATGCTAGCTCGCAGGCTCATGGATGAGTTGCTTGCTAGGCCAGGAAGACAGATTCATCTGTGGCACGCTATGCCGAGAGCGCAACGACTGCCCGCAAGGATTGACTGAACGACTGAAGACTTCTCGGAGCACGCAATGACACGGCCCCTTTTTCTCACTTGCCGCATCCAAACCCGGGGGCTTCACGCCACCTTCCGATACACCTCGGAGGCCCCGCGGCCACGGAGAATCAGAAGATCTGGGTCGAGGTACGTCACCTGCTTGTTTAGGGGCTGTGGCGAATTCTGGGTAAGATAAAAGGTTTCGGTGGGGGCTTCTACATGAGGTCCTAGAAGGCTTGTAGGGTTTGGGGCTTAGGGTTTCAGGGCTTGTTAGAGTTGCCGGTGTCGGGCTTGGGCTGGCGTTTGGGTGTTATGGAGTTTAACTCTTTGGGGTTTCGGGGAGTGAGCTGACGGCCCACTAAACCCTAACTCCTAAACTTAAACTGTAAGGCATGTGGCATACGGACTTTAGAGTTTCACTCAACCCAACAACAAAGCGCCTAGGACCCTTTTGTTAAGGGTCAGGGGTCTCGCTACTGGCTCTGAACTTAAGCCTCGGACTCTGACTTTCAGCTCAGACTCTGGCCAGAGGTCGGGGAACCGAGACAACTCTTCTAGAGAAGTGACCCATCCTGGCCCTAGCAGACCTTAGGCAATCCGTGACTTCAAATATCCAAACTCATGAAAATGCCGAAACAGTGAGCAGGTTGTCAATTCTAGACCGAAAATCAGTAGACCTCAAACCGCAAACCATCAACCCTTAAGCCTTGACCCCAAGTCTGTAGCCACTAAATATATAATATATATATTATTACTAATTCTTATATAGTATTATATATTATTACAAATTGTATAAAACCGGGCCCAGCTCCTAAACCCTTAAGCCCGGCTTGAACTATAACTCCCTGCGGCCCTGCGGCCCTGTGCCTCTTTACGTAGCTCTTGATATATGTATGGGAGTTTCCGAAAATAGGGGACCCAAATATAGTACCCTAAATAGTAGGGTCCTTATTATAAGGACCCCAAAATAAGGTACCCCTTATATTCGGAAACCCCCATATCCACATTGGTTTGGGGTTTCGGGCGTTTCGGGTTTCCGGCCTTCACATAGCGCTTGAAGCCACCCTCCTCCTGGCAGAGAACTGACCCACCAAGGGCCCACGCACTCTCAAAGGAGTCCAATACCGTCAACCGGAGTTTCTAGGGCTCCAGGGCCGTTTCTCAAAGCGCTTCACAAAGGATTCGTAGGGCTTGACAGGGTTTCAGAGCGTTTTTCTGACTTCATAAGGTTTCATGGGTTTTCATCCGGCCATTACCCAGCAATTAGCAGCACACCTCCAGGTCATGTTCAGGACACGTCTGTCATTTCAAGAGTACTCGCCGTCTTCGGCTTCCGCCGTACAAAGACTTGGCAGAACTCAATGGAACGACGACCGTATCACTGGCTTTACTGCAACCCTAGGGGAAACTGTCTGACTACTCTTGCTGCCTTGCTAGCAATAACACACAAAGAAAAAGTCAACACGAAAGCGGGGTTAGGGGTATAGGGTTTAGGGTTTAGGGGTTTAGGGGTTTAGGGGTTTAGGGGGCAGCACGGAAAACGACAGCTCTAAGACCCTCTTCCCTCGCCTTGAGAACTTCGCCCTTCGGAGGCGGCTTCTTCAGGGGCGCCTGCAAGTACTTGGAGGTTCAGGGGGAGTTATAGATGGGTCCTTTAAGGGTCCTGTTTAAGGGATCTATAGGGATTCTGTAAGGGCATAGGGTTTAGGCCCTACTTGGAGGTTCATGGGTAGCTGTCAATGGGGTTATAAGTCCCCTAATATGGGTTATAAGTGTGGCTACCCTACTTGTAACCCTACTTATAACTACCCATGAACCTCCAAGTAGCTGGGCTGCTGGGACAACGATGGACAACGCATTGATAACGATGACAGCACCAAAGGCTGCAACAATAAGCAAGAGCACACAGAACAGCTACATGCATATGAACGTACGTACATCTGGCTCCGCGGTATACATGCAATTTTCTGTGCATATATATATATATATGTACATATATTCACATCTATGCACCTTCATATATACTTGCATATATGTATACATACAGGTGCGTGCGCGCGTATGTTTCTATGCATGTATATATGTTTGTTTGTGTGTATATGTATATGCATATACATGTCTTTATATGCATATTCATAGTTCGAAAATGTGCATGTGTTTATACATATATGTGTGTGTATGTGTACATGTGTGTGTATATAATTATATATATATATATAGTAATTGAGAAAGATAGTATTTGTGTGTGTGTGACTGAAGCCCACCATGATGCCTAAGCACGTGAACAAGTAGCGACAATCACGGCTGCATGCCATCACTATCCCCACCCCAAACAATGACCTGCAGTGTCACCCACAAAAAGCTCGTTTGGGATAGGGGATAATGCAGATAGGAAGAGTAACATAAAGCATGTCAAGAAGATAACTCAGCCACCACAATACCGACACTAAGAGGTAACAACGATGATGCTAAACGGTAAAGTAAGGCACCAAACGGGAGACATACCAGAGTAAGAAGAGCAACCAGTCAGCGGCTGAGAAATGTTTCTCTTGATCTATCGATGACAATGAAATTGCGGAATCAATAACCATCACCAAGTAATACATCGAGCATAGGGCTAAATCTAGTGTACAAGAACGATGTGGGGTTGTTTCCAGGTGGAGGTTGAATACTCCTGTTGCAAGTTCAGGCATGCATTTCTAAGCATGCCAAGCTGATGTTAACACACATTGCCGTACAGTATGTCAAGCATACTGAACATTGACCTCTATCGTAACAATATGATCAAAACCAGCCTGGAGTATGTTTTAATACTTTTTTGCGGAGAATCAAAGCACCTCACTGCATCTGAGATGAATGCGTCGATTCTCCACTGGTGTGGCATTCCTATTCTTGTTAGAGTAAAGACTACAATGGCTATGAAATCATACCGCGATTACAATGAAGGATCACAAGTACGACATGACAATGACAATGATAGCAACAATAACTAGAGTCATGAAATGTCATAATCATGGTCATGCTAAAAACTATGGTTATTTTTAACGCAAGGTCATAGCTACTGTTTATTATAGCTACTTATTTTTGGGCCATCGGGCGATGGGGTTGCGAGCTCCGGCGCCTGGCGCACCACTGGCGCCTGCGGAGCCCCTCCCGGGGAAGCGACGACCACCTCCGTCTTCATGGAATAGTCCTCAGGCTTTCAGTTAAGAATAGTACCAACAGTGATTTTGTACTACTGGCACTACAATTCAAACAAGAACAGCAGCAACGTTGATATTTGTACTACTAGTACTAGTAGTCAACGTCGTCGTATATGTAGTAGCAGTCGTACTACTACTACTACTACTACTACTACTACTACTACTACTACTACTACTACTACTACTACTACTACTACTACTACTACTAGTACTACTACTACTACTACTACTACTACTACTACTACTACTACTACTACTACTACTACTACTACTACTACTACTGCTACTACCAATACTGCTACTACTACTACTACTACTACTACTACTACTACTACAATTACTACAACTACTTCTACTTCTACTACTCCTACTTCTACTCCTACTCCTACTCCTACTCCTACTCCTACTCCTACTCCTACTACTACTACTACTCCTACTACTACTACTACTACTACTACTGCTACTACCACTACTACTACTACTACTACTACTACTACTACTACTACTACTGCTACTACTACTAGTAGTCCGACGATGACGACTCTTGTGGCTGCTGCGGCCTGGCCTGGAAGATCTCCAGCGCTACCTTCCTCACCTCGCCGCCCTCAAGTCCAGCCTCCTGGGACCGGCTTTTGGGGTATCGGAGCTTGAAGGGTTTTAGGTTTTAGGGGGTTTAGGGGGGGGTTGGGGTTTAGGGGTTTAGGGGGTTTAAGGGGGGTTGGGGTGTAGGGTTTAGGGAGTTTTAGGGGGATTGGGGTTTAGGGTTTAGGGGGATCGGGTTTTGGGGTTTGGTGTTCCAGCCTTAGGATTCAAGACTCTTGGGGGGCTTAGGGATTATGGTTTAGGGCTCTTGGTTTTCAAAATTGTTGAGGGTTTGGAGTTTAAAGTTTGGAGAATCGCTGTAGTTTGTATTCCAAAACAGACGCACGGCTTTATGCTTTTAACTACTTTGTTTTACTGCTTTCAAGACTCTTCAAGCTCCGTGGCCCTTGCTCAGTAATTAGTCCCTCATAGGTTTCGGGTTGCCGTTTTCCCCGTGATTCAAGGCTTCTTCCGCGTTGAAAAATATGCGGGTGAAACTGTTAAACCCTGAACAAACCCCTTAAACCCCGAATCCCAACAAACCAGGAAACCCTAAACCTCACCCTTTAGGGCCTGAAGCCCAAAACCGGGACCCTACAAACTCTCGTTTCAGCCCTTCAACGCCAGAAGCCCCCGGCTCTCTCTCCCAGCGCGAGCGCCTTCAGAACCTCCAGCGCAGGCGGAACGCTCAGCCCGCGGTTCCTACGGCTCTTTTGGGAACTTCCGAGCATTGGCGAAATCGTCATCCTCCTACTAGCAGTAGGCAGCAGAGAAGTAGCTACACAATCAGCCCCAAATAAAAGCATGAGCATAGCCAACAGCATGACTATCGCCGGTGCCGTCACAACTATCGGCATCATCACAAAAAGCACAATCGCAGCCGTCGTCCTTGCCATCATCGTCATCATCATCACCACCATCACCACTAGCTAGATTTACCCTCGTCAGTGGATCATCATGCCGCTATCCGTCGTCGCCATCATGACTTTCATCCTTAAACCCTACTCTTTCTGATGCCAGAGACTCCGAGAGTCGGCAAACCCCTGCTGGCGAGGAGCACCCCGCAGAAGGCCAGCTCCCACTTTCCCACAAGCCTTAGGGCCCCAGATCTCCGTGAGGATCTTGGGCTTGCGGTTTAAGGCCAAGGTTTGGGGCTTTGGGGTTTAGGGTTTTGGCGGTTGGGGTTTAGGGTTTAGGATTTGGGGTTTCGGGGTTTGGGGGGTTTTGGGGGGTTTCGGATAAGATCTTGGGTTTCAGGATCTGCGACTGGAGGGTCTCTGGTAGTTGGCATAGAGGCTGATTGCACTTTGCATGCTTGAAGGCTCATGGGACTTAGTAAATAAGGTTATAAGTAGGTTAAAGTTAGGATAACCCCACTTAGGGGACTTATAACCCCAATTATAGCCTACTTACTAAGTCCCATGATCTTCTAAGTATTGCAGGCTTGTTTCGGATCGCGCACTGTCCAGACTCTACTCGAAACCTCCGAGACCCCGGAACCTGGAATTTCGGAGGAGGCGCCTACCAACCCTTGCCGCTACCAGCTACCGGAGCAGGCCGCTGCTTCTGCTTCCACTACCCCAATCATGAGGATGATGATAATCATGATGACCATGATGACCATGATAATAATGATGATCATGATGATGATGATTCAGAATAGCTCCGAACCATGTTTAAACTACTGATGCCAAAAGAGGCCCAGGGAGCAGGATCGACTCGGCACCCCGGGGCGAAGGATTCCGGCCTTGAAACAGGGCAGGGACCCCGAAGGGCACCGGGAATTTCGCTATCTCATTCTCATACGGTTGCCCAGAGACTCCAATATCCCTTGAAATTATTGTAGGATCCCTACTATGGTTTAAGGTATATTCCTTAATGAAGGGATATTGGAGTCTCTGGTAGGAAAGGTGATAATCGGAAAGATCCATTCCCAGGCCAGCAGCTGAACCCCTGACTCTGGCCTCTTCGGAAAATACATCGGGACTGTGGATCCAAAACCGGAATGCTGCGGAATGATGAGAAAAAGCACAAGCAGTCGGGAGCTCCATGAGGCCACCGGCAGGGCTTTCGATGCAGGCTCCCGGTCTCAGTCTTGGCTTAAGCTGGTCCCGTCAGGCCTTCGAGGAAGCCGACCATTCCTGGGATTCAGAGCTCACGGGGGTTTGGGGTGCGCTCTTGCGGTGTAGGATTTGGGGCTTATGATTTAAAATATCTCTTCGGACACACAGCTCCTGCTCTTGCGGTAGGGGATTTAGGGCGTATGATATCAGAAAACCTCTTCGGCCACACAGCTTCGGCTCTTGCGGTGTAAGTTTTAGATTCGGAACCACCCAGAAACTCCAATATCCCTTAATTGGGGTATATACCTTAAATCATAGTAGGATCCCTACTATGGTTTAAGGTATATTCCTCAATTAAGGAATATTGGAGTCTCTGGGCACAACTGCCATGCCCGCACTGAAGGGAACGCGCCTGTGGCCAAAATCCTCCATCCCCGGCTTCAACATTCGGGGCTTCAGGGATGAGGGTGGAAAGCTTTAAGGTTGAGGGTTTAAAGAGTTTAGGGTTTAGGGCTCAAGGGTTTAGGGCTCAAGGGTTTAGGGCTTAAGTTTCAGGATTGCTTTAGGGGTTTAAGGTCCCGGATTTGGGGGTTTTACGGCTCAAGGCCCAGAGTCCCTCCTGCAGAGCGTCGTTCGATCTTCTCCTGTTCGCCGACAGAGCGCTGCCCATCCTTCTGGCTCAGGAGCGCGACGAACTCGTCCTGCAGAGTAGGGCTTTCTTCGCAGGGTATCGCGCTGAAGGGATTCTAAGGTGTAGGGTTTTGTAGGGATTTGGTGCGTTCCGGGTTAAGGCTGCCGTGTAACGTTCGGCTGTGCCAGGTTCGGATCACTCTGGATCCTGGTTGCCCGACATGAAAGAACCGTCGGAAAGCCTGAACCTAAGACCTATAGGGTGCAGGGCTCAGGCGTTAAGTAAACAAATTAAAACCTTAAATCATTAGGGGCTGGTACCTCCACAACCCCAAACCCCAAAACTCCAAACGCCTTCAGTCAAACTTCCCGAGCCGAGCGAAGAGACTTGGGCAACCCTGAAACCCCCTAACCCTCGGAATATGGACTATCACCGTATCACCCAGTCCGAAAGTCTGGAATCCAAGAGACTCCTATCCCGTGTGCTCTATCTAGTAACTTCCCTTAAATAATTTTGAGGACCCTAAACCCTAAACCCTAAATCCTAAAACCCTAAACCCTAAACCCTAAACCCTAAACCGAGAATCCCACTCCGCATCTAAGGAGTCTTGCTTCTGGGACTGTCGAAGCCCTCAAGCTGCTCCTTCGTGTACACATCGAAGTATTCCAGCTGATCGCCCTGCGCCCAGCGCACCACGGCAGGTCTCAGCGGGCGCTGTGGCCTTCACCGCAACTTCGTCCAGCAAATGCCGGCGTTCAAGGACTTCGGGCTTCGAGGCGGCAGGGTTCAGGGGCTAGGGCTCCCTACTTGGAGGTTCAGGGATAGTCAAAAGTAGGGTTATAAGCAGGGTAACTATACTTATAACTACCCATGAAGCTCCCATGAAGCTCCAAGTAGGGTCCCCTTGGGCTTGATTTGACTTCGAGTTTTGTGGCTTCGGGCCTTGGACAGGTGCATCTGCTGTTGGGTTTCCGAAATTCTGCTGCCGCTCCTGGGGCCTGCCCTCAGACCTAATTCCCAACAGTCTCAAGCCCAAAGAAACGGAACTTATGTATGAACAAGTATGTATGTACAGGTATATGTGTGTGTGTATGTGTAGATATACATATATATATATATATATGTGTATATGTATATGTGTGTGTATGTGTACATGCATACATACATATCAGATAAACATAATGAAAGATGCATAAATTACGTCTATTATAACATGGTAATATACGGTATAATCATATAGTTTACTAGAGTGCTCAGCATATAGTACAATAACATGCTAAGATGCAATATGAAGAAGACCACATTCAATATCGCATGTAGTGTTCAATTGTTTGTGTATATATAGCGTATGTATAACTTGTAACCTAGCATAAAATATATAACAAATTCTACTTTGACGGAAAACAGCACAACACAATGTAATGTTATAATATGGAATAGAAATAGTTCCGAGGCTTGAAACCCCCAGCTCGAAATCTCCAAAACCTTACAAAGCCGTCGCTCGCAGCTCAAGCTCGAACCCACGACGCCCCAACCCTAGCAGCTCTGCACTCACAAGTTAGGGTTTAGGGTTCAGGTTTTGGGGTTTGGGCTTAGGGGTTTAGGGGTTTCGGGGTTTAGCGGTTTTGGGGTTTAGGGGTCTAGGGATCTTAGGGGCTTGGGGCTTGCGGTTTAGGTTTGGGGATCCCTCAAGCCCGAAACCCTCAACCCCAAGATCGCATAGGACCAGGACGGGAGTGCTGACCCTGCCAGACGTACGTGATATACAGCTCGACACCGTAGCTTTTCGGCATCGGGCTTTGGGGTCTGGGGTTCAGGATTGAGGGATTAGGGTTTAGGCTTTTCTGCAGGAGCGACTGTCAGGCTCAAGACCCTTATTCAAGAAGCCGTAACTCCAAACCTCAAATCCTACTTAGAGGATCATGGGACTTAGTAAGTAGGTTATAATTGGGGTTATAAGTCCCCTAAGTGGGGTTATCCTAATTATAACCTACCTATAACCTTACTTACTAAGTCCCATGAGCCTTCAAGTACTTACACCCCAGCGGCCTCAGCCCTGCCAGGGCCGCGAAGCTCAGCCCTCTGAAGCAGAGTACCAGGCAGAGGCCAAGGCCGGGAAGCCACCGGCGCGACGCCGGATGCATGGCTTTCTAGTACTATTACTAATACTAATCTTTTTTTATATTAATACGAATACTCATATTAATATTAATACGAATAATAATACTAATACTAATACTGATACGAATACTAATGCGGAGGCTGTAGCAGGGTGAATGCCCTGCGTGCGAAATAGATATGTATCCATCTATTTGTCCATCTTTCTAAGTAAACCCGAAATAGGCCAGAAGCGCCCTTCTTCGGCTTAGATTTCTTCTTTCTGAAGGCAGACTGGCAATAAAGGGGCCTGCATGCCTCTTCGGGGCATGTTATAGTAGAGTGAACTGGGCAGTATGGGTTAAGGGTTTAGGGATACGGTTCATTACTCATTCAGACCTCTGTAGCAAGGGGCGGGCTTCGGGCTTCGCATGGCTTCGCGGCTTAGAGCTCCAGGACATAGCCGTGAGAGTCTCAGGCCATTAAGGTAGTGATAAGAACTGCTCAGACTCTGGGCCTCGAATGGCCTTAACTAGAACAAGGCTTTGGGTGGCATGTCTGTCTGGTATCGTTTTTGCGGGGCTGTGAGGTGATTCTCTTACTAAGCCTTCGGACTTCTATATTGAAGAAGCAGAACTTGCAGCAGGATATAGAAGTTGTTAGGTCCTCCGGTTGATGTCTGACAGAGGCGACCAAAGAGCGACCAAAGACTTTGGCAAGGAGCCACGCTGTCATGTCGACCGTCTTCAGATTTCAATTTTGAGGGTTCAGGGCTTCGGGCTTTATGTTTGAAGGGTTCGGGGCTCCAGCGGTTTGCTTTTTAGGGTTTCAGGGCTTTGGTTTGGGGGACTAACTGATGGAGCCACGGTTTGAATCAGCACTGCACTCTCCTCTCCAACCCCAAGCCCCTAACTCCTAAATTCAAGTCTTCCATGCCACATAACCACCAGACATGCCCGGAAACGTCCCAGAGCACCGCCTCCCCAGAGTACTTGAAGTGGACATTGACGCCTTTGCGCCTGCACGACCCAGACATCTCCCAGACTCTGGCCCCATGGGAGTTTCTGAAAATTAGGGGTACCTTTACAGGGATCCCTTAAGGGCTCCTTAAAGGGATCTATAAGGGTTCTATAAAGGGTTTAGGGTTTAGGGCTTGCGAGAATGAGGGGTGCCATAATCCTACTATTTAGGGTACTATATTAGGGCCCCCTATTTTCGGAAACTCCCTCATGGGCTCAGATATCCAAAGCGGCGTGCAGTCTTGCTTTGGTAAGTTTGGGTTACATGGGGGAACTGATATTTAGAATAGGTGAATCGGCTTTCGGTGCATGGTTTAAGGACCATAAAGGCATGCAGACAAGAGGGTGTCCGAGTTCTTCAGGAAGCTGTTTCGACAGGCGTTCGGCAATCAGGGTTTATGGCCCTGGCTTTGAAAGACTAAGTAAGGTCTAGTTTTGTTTTTGGACTCCTTTTTCCTAGGTGCTGCTTGCGGCGGCTGCTAGACTAGGTTTCGGGCTTCAAGGTCTTGAAATTGTGAGGGTTTTGTGCTCAAACCAGAGCTCAGCTCGAGTCTGAAGCAGTTACATATGGGTGGTCGTCAAAATTAGAGTTCCTTTTTGGGTCCCTATTATAATACGGCACCTAATATTTAGGGTGCCCAAAAAGGTACCATAATTTTGACAACTACCCATATCGACAGCAAACCAAGCACAACACCGCAGCAGAGTCAGTCGGCTGGAAACACCTACAGAAGTATAAGACCTACGTCAAAGCAAACCAGGAGTTCTGCTTCGTTCGAGGCTCTAAAGAAAAAATTCTAGCCCCGAAATCAATGCGACAACCCTGGCCTGTTGCCCCGTTTCCATCCATCCTGGCAAAACGCGGTAAGCAATGGGTACAGTGGGGTCCGGGGATCGATGGTACTTAGAGGATCATGGGACTTAGTAAGTAGGTTATAATTGGGGTTATAAGTCCCCTAAGTGGGGTTATCCTAATTGTAACCTACTTATAAGCTTACTTACTAAGTCCCATGAGCAACGGCAACAGCAGCGGCAACAGCAACAGCAAAGGTAACGGCAACGGCAGCGCCAACAGCAACCACAACGGCAAGGGCAATGGCAACAACAGCACAAACGCAGCAACGGCAACAACGGTAAAGACAGCAATGCCGGCGACAACAGCGACAATAGTGAGACCAGCGACAACAGCCAGAACCAATGCCAGACCAGTAGAGGAACAGCACCAGTATCTCCACCAACAACCACGACAACTGCTTTCTCGATGACTCGAGCACACTGGCCCAAACAGAAAAGCAACTCTTTCTACATGAAGGCCGTTGATGTTGCTCTTGCCTGGCTCTTGCTCCTGCTCTTCACCGAAGTGAATGTCACAGCAAGGTAGGGGCTTCTAATTGTATGAGTGAAGGATACTTCAACAGACTGACCCGAGTGAGCTGGAGGTCTCAAGTCTGAATACAGCTGACATCTACAAAAAACTACATGACATTACATGACGATGACCAGCTTCATCTTCGTTTTAGGATGACAGTCTATTTTCGTGTGTAGCGATGTGTCGAAAGCAACTCATCATCACGCGAGAGCATGAAAGCCTGCTCATTTTCTGAATGGTATGGAACAATCAAACCTCACTGCTGGCCTAATGATGTTTGCGCCGAGCTAATCGTGACCCTAAGCCCAACAAAATCTAACCAGTGCACCCAAAAAATACCTCAAAAATAATTATCATCATCAGCACTATAATACTATTCATAAGAGTAATAATAATAACAATGATAATCGTAATTGTAATAATAAAAGGAATATAAAGCAAGCCCAGACGGAGCCTCGAGGAGGAGTCCTCGGAGGCGCTCGATCGCCTCGATGAACTCGGGAGTGAGGCCCTCGCACGAGTTGCTTGCAATTTAGGGCCCCTATAGTACCATTATAGTATACCCCTTGTAGATCTCTTAATGGAGCCCTTAAAGGAACCCTAAACCCTAGAACCCCATGTGGGTGGTTGTCAAAATTATAGATTTAGGGTTCCCTTAAAGGGGATCTATAGGGGCTTATAGGGTTCCTTTAAAGGAGTTGCTTGCTTAGAGGATCATGGGACTTAGTAACTAGGGTTATAATTAAGGTAACTAGACTTGTAATTACTTATAACCCCAATTAAGGTACTTATAACCATACTTGCTTGCAATATGGGTGGTTGTCAAAACTATAGATTTAGGGTTCCCTTAAAGGGGATCTATGGGGGCTTATAGGGTTCCTTTAAAGGGATCTATAGGGTTTAGGGTCCCTTTTTGGGTACCCTATAAATATTAGGTGCCGTACTATATTAGGGACCCAAAAAGGGACCATAATTTTGACAACCACCCATATAGAGGCCTTATGTATTGGAACAGGGTTTGGAAGGTATATTCTAGTAGCAGTACAATTAATAAGGAGCCCTCAGGAAGAATAATCTTGCTCATTATTCAGGCCTTGATATTGCAAGTCTTCCTTCAGGGCCCCTGTGGTTCCTCTCTGGCTTCCTAGAGTTTCAATCCAAAGCTGAACGAAGAGGTAGTAAACGGGTCTACCGTTGAGGCTTTCAGGGTTCATACTGCTTGTAGGCCCCGGCAGGCTCGATGTTGGGGTGCGCGCTTCGAAGCTTTGGGTCTTAAAGGCAGCTGGTCATGCCTAGGGCCAACGCCCCAAAATAAGCCCTGAACCCTAAACCCTAAGCCCGAAACCCTGAACCCTAAACCACTGCCAGGGCCCCATCCCCAAGCCCCTCTCTGCAGCCCTGGGAAAGCCGGCCCTAAAGCCCAAAAATTACGCAGGGCTCTGCCTCGAAGTAGGCGCCCTCCAGTAGGCCGGCTGCGGAGGAAGCCAGGCCCTCACTCTCCTTCTAGAAGGGGCTCAGGAATCCGCACTTGAAGCATTGTTGTCGCTATTTCTGCTGGGACGGCGGCTACTGACTGCTACCACTGCTGCTACTACCTGCTAGTTAGCACGTGAGCGAGCTAGCCATCTGGAAACACAGCACTCCCAAGTCTGTCAATGGTTCAGGGTTTAGGGTTTAGGGTTTAGGTTTCGGGTTCAGGCTACAACACGTCATTGCTGCCACTGTCTTCGGGCTGGTGTCCTCTTCGGGCTCGCGGGCGGTCGCCGCGCCAGAGCCTTGGACAAGCCCGGCTTCGAGCCTTTAAAGGGTTACCATAGCTGGATTCTTGTTAAGGGATTTAATTTAAGTTACCAGAGTACGGAAGCCATATTATGCACTATAAATCCCCATTTTGGTGATTTAAATTCTATTCCTGAACAAGAACCCAGATCTGGGCTACTCTGCGGGCTCAAGTCGGGCTAGCAGGGAGGGCTCGATGAAGGCTCTACCTCTGTCAGGGCACTGGCAGGGCTACCTTTGTACGTTCCATGCTTTGGTTCAGGGGCTCTGGGTCTAGGATTTAAGGTAGGATTTAAGGTGGAGGTTCAGAAGGACCCCACAACCTCGAACTTCAAGCACAAAGACCTTATAATCAATGCCTCTTCCTGATACTCAAATGACGGTTGTCGAGGGGAGGCGGGTGGACTCAGGTGGACCAAACAGAAAGACTCAAGCAAGCCTGCACGACGGGATCGCACGTAGGCCGAGCCTTTCAATGCCTTCACTGCATCGGTTGGACCACACTGCTTCTTCCTCGAAACGCCAATCTTCCGATGAAGCGTTCGAAACAAAACTGAGGGCGCGGCCCATGCTTCAGCAGGAAAGGGCCACGAGATGACCCACAAAGAGTCAGAGAACCAGATGAGGGGGCTGTCAGCTTGGGAGTCATTTCTTAAGGTTTAGGGATTAGGGCAGTTTAGGGTTTAGGCTAAATCTCGGCCAGCTTCTTCCCCGCAAGTCATGGAGGCTGCATGGCATAAGCCTGAATCACCGAGACCCGAGACCCACAACCCTAACTCGTCACAAGCTTGAGGCAGGGGATGGCCAGAAGCGCAGCATAGTACAGAAAGGGCCTTGATATTCCATGAGAAGAGGATGTTCGGGGGTTGTGATATAGTATAATTATCCTGGGGAAGCCTGAGTTTGAGGAATGATATTTCAGATTTTTCTGGCCCCGATGTTACACACGTAACCCTCATTGATCTGCTCAACCAGTCCAGACCGAGATGGTGCGCAACTAGGGTTAGTGTTTGGAGTTCAGACTTCAGGTTTCGGGGTTTCCGGTTCAGGCTTAGGGTTTGCGGACGGTCCTTGAATTTCATGTCTGCCCTCGCCTTGGATCCCTTCCACCTCGAAGCCGAAACTCCTGCTGCTGAAACCCCGAAGACGCTTGGCTGACATCCGTCAACCCCTGTAACCCCAGCCCTGCAAGCTTTGGCCTTTGCCCTGAAACCCCAAACCATGCCGTTACGATGTTTTGGACTTTAGGGTTTAGGGTTTAGGGTTTAGATGCTCTGGCCAGTTGGAGTGTTTCGGGCATGTGTAGCATCAGCACGGGCGTCGGAAGCGGCTTAGCTCTCGATGTCTAGCTTCTCGGGCCTGCGGCACGCTTTAAGCTAATATTGAAGCCCCCTAGACCCTAAATCCCCTAAACCCTAAACCTCCTCAACCCCCGATTTTTGAAGTCATGCGCCACAGCTCCAGGCTTGATGCCCGTTGCCTCTCGAACCATTAACAGTGGCGACCGGGCTCTGAACCCGGGCCCCCAGGTGTGCTTTTTTTACACTTAGGAGTTTCCGAAAATAGGGGACCCCAATATAGTACCCCAAATAGTAGGATCCTTATTAAAGGACCCCTAATACGGTACCTCCAATTTTCGAAAACTCCCACTTGTAATCCTAAATGACTATCATTTTTTGTGACCACAGGAGATGATGATGATGATGATGGAAAGCGAGGAGGATGCAGGTGAAGTGAGGATAGTCGCTGCAGTACCGGATGTAGTCGTGGTAGCAGCGGTAGCTGTGATAGTACGAGGAGGAGCTTCTCGAATGATTATGATGACAGTAGCTAAAATCATATTCGGTGTTGCTTATGGTGTCGTCCCAGAAAATTTTATTGATATCGCGATCTTGCTATGTTCACGCTAACTCGGCTGTGCGCTTCTTCAGCAGTGGGGTGCGGGCAACAGTCCGAACCGAACGCTGCCGCGTCGCCTGAATCTGATCCAGGGGCGGGTGTGTTTTGACGGTTGAGGGTTCAGGGCTGAGTGGATTCGGTTGCACACGAAGCTTGCGTTTGGGAATCGAGTTCTCGGGTTGTGGACTTCTGGCGTCCCGATCCCCTGGGCGCAAAAGCTAGCAGGAACAACATCTGTTTCCAGACCCATGAAACCCGCCACGAATTTCCACGCGGAGGCCTTGTCTACATCAGGCCTCAAGCCCTGCACCTCGTCTTGATACCCAAACAAGCGCTTCGACACAGTCAACATCTGCAGCAGCTAAGCATTTGGAAACGCAAGAAGACCCGGCATGCCTAGTCCACGTCTTGGAACCATGCAGCCTCCAAAAGGTCTCCGAGAATCAGCGTAGAACGAGGAGCCGACAAAAAACAAACCCGGAAGCTTGGAAGAACATTGAACCCTGACCCTAAACCCCAAACCCTTATAGCAACCCTTAACAAGAATCCTGAACGAAAACCCTGAGCCGTGAAATCCCCGCTCGAAACTTGTTGTGTGTGCGGTGCAACATCACCGCGAATCCCAAGCTCGAAACCCCAAGCCGCCCAAGGCCGCAACCCTAAACCATTGATCCTCCTTCGCCCGTATGCGTGTACGCATTTGTATGTGTGTAAATATATATATATATATATATATATATATATATATGTATGTATACATGCATATTTGTATCGATGCATGCATGCATACATATATACATGTATATACACACACGCATGTGTGTGAATGTGTGTGTGTATATATATACATACATACATACATACATACATACATACATGTAAATATGTATATATGTACGAGAATGTGTCTGTGTATACATTATACACATACACATATCCATATATGCATATTTACATTCCTTTTTACGTGTACATTTACGCATGCTCATGTATTCGCTGCTTCTTTGCCTGCTGGAACAAGTTTGGCAGGTCGCCTGTGCCAGTGGCCTGCTCTCCGTCGACTCCGTGCCGGGGCTCCGACTCGCCTTGGCCTTGGCCTGTGCCTGGGCCAGGTCGAAGATACCTGGGCTTTAGGGTTTTAGGGTCTTGAGGGCTTTGGGTTTAGGGTCCTTCCGGGGTCTCTTTAAGGGGGTTTGGGGTTCAGGGTTCAGTGGCTTAGGGCTTAGGGCTTGTAGGGCTTAGAGCTGTTGGGGTCTTTAGGGTTTAGGGCTTTTAGGGTTTAGGATTTGAGGCTTTCAGGGTTCCATTTTGAATCATGTAGTCTAAGCCTACGGGTTCCATAAGATCTTGGAAGGCTCTATAAAGGTCTGGGTTTCGGGCTTGGGGCCGACGGCTTGGGTGACGTGTGGCTTTTGTGGGGGTTTGGCGGGGTTTGGAGCTTGGATTTGGGAGTTGGGAGATCTGGGGCAACTGCCAAAATCCCAAGCCCAAAAGTCGACAGCTGCTCAGAATCTTCCTTGAATCCTCCACAAGGTATGCTGCTGTTCGCCAAACCCGCAAAGCCCAGTCTAGGCTTGCAAATCGTGGCTTAGACTCAAGGTGTCGGGTGCAATGTGCGTGCGTGATCGTTCGGCAGGGCGTTGGGTGAGGCTTCGAGAGAATGTCTGGTGCGAATCGTCAAGATTCGTAAAACCTGTTCCGGACCGTCTATACTGACGCGAAGAAGCCAGCAAGAATAGTCACGGTCCCCAAACCTTAAACATTATACCGTAAATGATACCCTAAACCACATGCCATACAACCCTCAAGCCTCAACCAAAGTCTGCAACCCTGAGCTCCAAACACCCCAAAAGCCCAAACCCCAAACAGCCCGCAAACCCTGGATTCCCGTACTATAAGCGCTTCAATGATTAGAATAAAGCTTTGGGGTAAATGATACGATGATTGTAACAAGGAACCCCAAAGTAATATTCGATCCGTAAGCCTCTATTAGTTAGGTTATAGTATAGTTTGGCATATCATCTTATATTATGTGTATATACATACACACACATATATACATATATATATATATATATATTGCAGTGTTTTATGGTATCCATTATTTAGGCCCCCTTTGCTAGCCCAAGGCACTCTGTAGGCCGGTGGCCCTGCGGCGGGAGCCCTCCGCCTCTCCGCTGGAGGCAGGGGCGGCCTGGACGCGCCCCAGGCCTGCCGGGGTCTCTTTGGGGTTTAGGGTCTTAGGGTTTACCATTTAGGGGTTTAGGCTGAGGGTTTTTTTTTTGTTTGAACGCCTTTTTCCATCCAGCAGAGCCTGCAAGAAGGGAATCCCGGTTGGGAAAGCGTCTTAGACCCTCATACTAGGCTGAAGGTTTAGGGTTTAGAGTTTACCATTTAGCGGTTTAGGCTGAGGGTTTGGGGTTTAGGGTTTAGATGTCACTTTCGGCTTGTTTTTTGAGCATCTTTTTCCGACTGCTGACGTCCTAGTCACCCGTCGCAAGACCTACAGATCAGGCGTCTATGTCTGCACCTGTTCCTTTCGCTTTGCTCTCTTCAGGAGTTTAGGGTTTTGGGATCAGGGTTAAGGGGTTTCGGAGCTTAGGGTTTAGAGTCTCGGGTTTACGAGTCTAGGGCTCAGGGTTGAGAGTTCAGGGCTGAGGGTATACTATACTTATAATAAGGAACTTAGAATGGAACCTCTACAATAGTATTAATAATTCTTGAAGCCTCTATACTACAGTGCCCTTATAGATCCCTTACAGTAACCCTTATAGATCCCTGTAAAAGGAACCCCATGCAATTCTTGAGGCCCCTGTAGCGCCAGAGTTCTGGCCTGCTGGCGTCGACTGCCTCCGCTCGGGCAGCGAAAGGTCCTGCGCGGAAAGGGCGGGCTCCCCAGAAAGCCCAATACCCCCTTTATTTTGGAATACCTAGGGTCCAGGGTTCCTTTAAAGGATGCATAGGGTTGAGGGTTTAGGAGGCACCAATACCCCTTAATTAATCAACCTTCAATCATTAGGGACTTCACGTTATGATTTAAGCTGGATTCCTTGATTAAGGGGTATTGGGCTCTGTGGGTCTGGCACGGCTTAGGAGCGCAGGAGAGAGGATGTAGGGAACCACAATGCCACAAGGGTTCTGAAAGTCGTATAAATACTATATATAATGGTTAGGGTTCGGGGATGCACAACGATTTTTCGATGAGGGCTGGTGCCGCAAGCATACAGACAGAGAGGCAGACAGAGAGACGCTAAGATAGGCATGTATGTCGCACCCCCAATGCATTGCCTGGCAGTGTAATATCATGTGGGCGAGACCATACCGCCGCATGTACGAGTCTGCATAGAAATGCGGCTTAACCAGAGATCACTCATAAAAACTATCCTAAACCCTAAACCCTGGCCCCTAAGCCCCAAACTCTGAGCCCTGAACCCTAAACTCGAAACCCTGAACCTGAACACAACACGAACCGCTTGAGACATCGCTTGCTGTTGCCAGAAGGCCACCAAACCGCCAGGTGACCCTCAAACCCTGAACACCCCAACCACTCCAAACCCCAGAACCCTCAAACCACCTGAAGCTCTCTAGAGCCCGGAAACCCTAACCCTCAACCAAAACCCTTGATGTATCCAGCAACCCGTCCTGCTCGGAGCCCGAAGCCGTGGATCGGGTAGCGAAGGACACCGCCGGAGCGCAGACCAGGCGGCCAGCTCTCAAACGCTCAGCACCCCGCAGCTCCTCTAGGGGTGACTATAATATCCAAGATGATGCAGAATACGATGTTTAATATCATGTACAATCTTTGTATATAGGGCTTTCAGGCTTTCGATAGAAGAGATTAAGGAACCCTAGAGAATGCGTTATGGGCGTGTTTTTGGACTGAGCCATGATGGAGTTGGAACACATCACGGGCTAGAACCACTAGCTTCGCTGTTGTGCATTATGATGGGACAGTCATGCCTTTGGGCGAATCCCGTCCTCCGCGACGCCTGCCTCTTCATGCGCCACATCAATGTAGAGGTCCGTCTCGTCAACGATCTCTTCGTTGATGAGCTCCTGAACAGCTCTTGAAGGGACCCTGAAAGTGGTTCTTAAAGTCTTAAACCAACCCTCAAAGAGCCCCTTAGAGAATCCGTGACAGGAACCCTTGAAGCCGTAAACGCTTACAACGTCGAGCTTTTGGAAGTCAGGCGTTTCGAGACTTGGGGCTTCCGGCTTGGGGCTCCCAAGATGCGAACCCCCACATTCCCAGCGTCGACCCCAGCCTTGCTACGAGGCTTCAGGAACCCCCGAAGCACTGCCCGGGCCCTGGGACTAGGGCCTTCCTTGTAATGATATCAGGATCAGGGCAGGGTTTCGGGATGCTGCGGAACATACACGTCGAAAACAAGCAATAAGCAAGGCTCCTCGATCAAGTCTTCCAGGGTCAGAATGCCCAGGGGAGGAACGTCCAGAGGAGCCAGGTTGTCTCCAAGTTCCGTTTCCCGAGGATACACCACAGCCATGTGTGTTTGCCCTGCCGGAAGGTCAACACAACAGACTCACGACGACGGGGAATGCTGCCAATCAGAGACAAAGCCAGCAAAACACCACAGCAGAGAGAGAGAGAGAGAGAGAGAGAGAGAGAGCGAGCGAGCGAGCGAGCGAGCGAGCGAGCGAGGGAGGGAGGGAGGGAGGGAGGGAGGGAGGGAGGGAGGGAGATGGATGGATGGTAGTGATTGCAACAAAAGAATCGAAGATATGAGGTTGAATGTATCAGCTGTGTTCCCTGATGCCAGCCTGTTTGGAAGATGTCCAAGATCTTGTACAACGGCTCATCCTCCACCACCTGAAACCCGAAACCCTGCAAGTTAGTCCGGCTACTTTGGGGGTCTCCTGGTGGTTTTGGTGTCCTTTCCTGATGGGTTCCCCGGTCGTCTTCCTGTGTAAACATTCGAAAACCAAATTTTAAACAATCATGCACCCCTTGGCTTCAGAAGGCCTTAATTAATAACAAGGAAGCCTACAACACCGTGTATGACCCCAATTAATACTTGTGTGAACCCTGGAGAACTTTACATTTTCCCTATACAAGGCCTTGACAAGGGGGCTGAGCCGCTGTGTGGAGACGGGCCAGGCGTCCTCAGGCCTCCCAAGTGAATCGAAAAGCTACAAAAGGCAAAGGTTTGGGATCTGGAGCTCAGGGTTTAGAGCACAGATTCCGGGCTGAAGGGAGTTGTTGGGCGGCGCTTTGTTCATCCCGAAGAGGCTCCTCATGCTCACTTTCTCGCTTGGGGTCTTCTTTCGCGCCCGGTTCGGATCCTCAAGGTCCTTTTTGTTGACCCTCCTTTTCCTCTGGCCTATCGATCGTTATGAGGATCTGGGGTCTAGGGCAAAAGGAACAAAAGAATTTCAAAGGATGCAAAAAAAAACAACCTAACGGGCCATACAGGGTGTTGTTCACGACATGGGTTTGGGAGTTTAGAGGCCGAAGGAACAAAGAACCGTTAAGGGTGCAAAACAAACAACCAAATCGGCCGTACATGAAGTTCTTCGCGCCCTGGGTTCGGGGGTCGAAAGCCGAAGGGACAAATGAATGAAGGGACATCAAACAGAGAGACAAAGAGACAGAGAGAAGGAGAGACCGAAAGAAAGAGACGCAGATGTAACAAATTCTCTAGTCTCTTTCGAGCGGTTAGCTCCTTGTTCTCAAATTCTCTATTCTCGTTCGAGCGGTTTGTTTATTGTTCTCAAATTTCAATAACCCTTTTCTAGCGCTTTGCTACGTGAGCTCTAACTCTCTACGTTCTTTCAAGCGTTTTGCTCCGTGAGCTCGAATTCCCTAGTCCGAACGGCTTGCTCCTGGTTCTCAAATTCTCTAATCTCCTTTGCTTGGTTTGCTCTTTGTCTCCAAATCCTCCAGTCCTTTTCGAGCGATTTGCTCCTTGTTCGGAATATTCTCTAGCTCCTTTCCTTTACTTTCTTTCGAGTATTTTGTTCCTTTTTCTCAATTCCTTAGTTCCTTTCCAGCGGTTTGTTCCTTGTTCTGAAACCCTATAGTTTCTCTCGAGTAGTTTGCTCCTGTTTCTCAAAATCCCTAGTCCCTTTCAAGCGGTTGGCTCACTGTTCTGAAATTCTCTAGTCTCCGTCGAGTGGTTTGCTCCATGTTCTCAAATTCCCCAGTCCCTTTCAAGCAGTTTGCTCTCTGTTCTGAAATTCTCTAGTGTCTTTCGAATGGTTTGCTGCTGTTTCTCAAAACCCCTAGTCCCTTTCGAGCGGTTTGCTCACTGTTCTGAAATTCTCTAGTTTCTTTCGAGTACTTTGCTCCTTTTTCTCAAATTCCCCAGTCCCTTTCGAGCCGCTTGCTCTTTCTTCAGAAGTTCTTTACGTTCTTTCGAGTGGTTTGCTCCTGTTTCTCAAAATCCCCAGTCCCTTTCGAGCGGCTTGCTCCTCGTTCGCTTGGTTTGCTCTTTGTTCTCAAACCCTGCAGTAATTTTCGACCGATTTGCTCCTTATTCACAAGTTCTTTGCATTCTTTCGAATGGTTTGCTCCTTTTTCTCAAATTCTTGAGTCCTTTTCGAGCGGTTTGCTCCTTGATCTCAAATTCTCTAACCTCCTTTGCTTGGTTTGCTCTTTGTTCTCAAAATCCTCCAATACTGTTCGAGCAGTTTGCTCCTTGTTCTGAATTTCTCTAGCTCCTTTCCTTTACTTTCTTTCGAGCGGTTTGCTCCTTGTACTCAAATTCTCCAACCTCCTTTGCTTGGTTTGCTCTTTGTTCTCAAAATCCTCCAATCCTGTTCGAGCAATTTGCTCCTTGTTCTGAAATTCTCTAGCTCCTTTCCTTTACGTTCTTTCGAGTGGTTTGCTCCTTTTTCTCAGATTCCCGAGTCCCTTTCGAGCGGTTTGCTCCTTGCTCTGAAACTCTCTCATCCCTTTCGAGCGAGTTGCTCCTTGATCTCAAATTCTCTAACCTCCTTTGCTTGGTTTGCTCTTTGTTCTCAAAATCCTCCAATCCTGTTCGAGCAGTTTGCTCCTTGTTCTGAAATTATCTAGCTCCTTTCCTTTACTTTCTTTCGAGCGGTTTGCTCCTTGTACTCAAATTCTCCAACCTCCTTTGCTTGGTTTGCTCTTTGTTCTCAAAATCCTCCAATCCTGTTCGAGCAATTTGCTCCTTGTTCTGAAATTCTCTAGCTCCTTTCCTTTACGATCTTTCGAGTGGTTTGCTCCTTTTTCTCAGATTCCCGAGTCCCTTTCGAGCGGTTTGCTCCTTGCTCTGAAACTCTCTCACCCCCTTCGAGCGATTTGCTCCTTTTTCCGAAATTCTCTAATCATTCGTTTTCGAGCGGTTTGCCCATTGTTCTCAAATTATGTAGTCTCTTTCGCTTGGTTTGCTCTTGGTTCTCAAACCCAACAATCATTTTCGAGCGGTTTGCTCCTTGTTCTGAAATCTCTAGTTCCTTTCGAGCCGTTTGCTCCTTATTCACAAATTTTCTAGTCCTTTGAAAACGGTTTGCTCCCGGTTCTCAAATTCTTTAGTCTCTTTCAAGTACCGATCGAAAGAGACTGGAAATTTGCGAACAAAAGAGCAAACGGCTCGAAAAGGAACTAGGGCATTTCAGAACAAGGAGCAAACCGCTCAAAAAGAACTGGCGAGTTTCAGTGCAACGAGCAAACTAAGTGAAAGAGACACTGGAGAATTTGAGAAGAAGAAGCAACCCTTTCGGAAGAGACTAAAAAGGTTTGAGAACAAGGAGCAAAGCGCTCGAAAGAGATTAGAGAATTTGAGAACAAGGAGCAAACCGCTCGAAAGAAACTAGAAAACTCGGGAAGAGGCTCGAAAAAGACTAAACAAGTTGAGAAGCAGGAGCAAACAGCTCGAAAAAGACTGCTATAGGGAATGTGAGAGCAGGGAGCAAAGCGCTCGAGAAGGACGGAGCAAGTTCAGAACCAGGAGCAAACTGCTTGAAAGACACAAGAGACTTAGAGAACAGAAGCAAACCGCCCGAAGTGGACGTAGAAGATTTGAGAACACGAGCAGCAACTCGCTTGAAATAGAAAGGGTGCGTGAGCACAAGGAGCAACCCGCGCGAAAACGACTAGAGAGTTTGAAAACAAGGAGCAAACCCAGTGAAAGAGATTGGAGAATCTGAGAGAAGGAAGCAAGCCGCTTTCCGGAGAAAGGACTTTGAGCAAAAGGAGCAAACCGCTCGAAAACGACTAGAGGATTCGAGAAAATCTAGAAAACCGGTCGAAACAAACTAGAGAATCTCGACAGAAAGCATAGATTCTGAAAAAGAAGCAAACCTAACGAAAGAGACTACAGCTTTTGAGACAAAGAAGCTAACCGCTCGAAAGCGACAGAAAACGGAGCAAGCCGCTCGAAAGAGATTGAAGACCTTGAGAACAAGGAGCAAACCGCTCGGAAACGATTGAATAGAGAATTTCAGCAAAAGGAGCAAACCGCTCGAAAGGGATTAGAGAGTTTCAGGAAAAGGAGCAAACAACTCGAAAGAGACTAGAGAGCCCGCGAGGGGCAGGAAGCACGCAAAGGGCAGCGAGGGGCCGAAAGCAAGCCAAAGGCCGAAGGGCAGGGAGCCTGTGAATGGCAGAAAATCCGCCAAGCGAAAAGCAAAGGGCTGGAAGCCTGCGAGGGGCAGGAAGGCGGAAGGCCACGAAGGGCAGGACCCGCGAAGGGCAGCAAGGCCCCGGCCCGGGAAAGGCGTGACAGCGATCGAACCCTGCGAATTCGAAGGCCACTTCTTGAAGGACAACAGAAGGAACACATAAGCACGGAAACACTCCGGATTTGGTGTTGCTTGTTTCGGATTTGCTGGCGGTTCCGGGTTGCAGGTTGGGGGTTCAGAGTTCCGGGTTTAACTGTTTCGGGTTCGGGGTTTCGGGATTCAGTCTTTATGGTTTGTCTCTGAAGAAAGCACCGAAAAACGCAAGACGCCCACGGACAGTTTGGTCTTTACACGAAACAAACATCAAATCCTGAACTCCAGATTACGTATCCTGGTTGGGCCGACCCAAAAGCCCTGAACTCAAACTCTTTTTTCTTCAAGCCTAGTAATAGTAATAATATTAGTAATAGTAATAATAGTAGTAATAATAATCCCTTCCCCCTAATATTAAAGGGTCGGGGCCCCCCCCCCCTTCGCCCTAAATAAAAACTCGAAAATGTTTTTATAATTAGGGGGGTGTTGTTATCTCAATTCCTAGAAACACAGGTTCTACAAGTAATTAAATGATGAAAATGATGACGATGAAAACCCCTAAAACCCTAAACCCTAAAGACCCACTAAGACAAACAGGCAGCCGACGATCCTTTTCAGGCTTTTAGAGCCAGACAGCCAGTCAAGGTCGCTAATTACAACTTAAGGCCCTAAAACCCTGCACCCTAAACCCTAAACCCTGAGCCCTGGTTAGGGTTAGGCAGACAGACAGCACCAGACTGGCAGCCGATCTTCTTTTGCTGTCTGGCTGTATAACAGCGAGACAGGCTCGGACAGCCAGACTCGCAGCAGCCGAAAAAAGACAGAGAACTCAGCCAAAGCCACCACCCCAAACCCTCAATCTATAGACCCTAAACCTTCCCCCTAATTCAAATTAGGGTTTAAAGGGCGGTGCTACTTCCGGGTGGATCGGGGGAAAAGTGTTTTTATAATTAGGGGTCCCTTTAATAAAAGGGGGAAGGGATTAGTAGTATTAGTAATCGTAGCCCCAAACCCTAGTGTCTAAACCCTAAGCTCCAACTCTACACCCAACTCTGTACTTTGAAGGGCCTAAGCTTGATGAGCTTTTTGATGAGGAGGGCCCCCAGGAACTTCCCAGGCTTACCGGGCTCGTGCACCTCAGAACGTCGGTTCTTCTCTTTAGGGCGTCGGGCGTGGAGTTCAGGGGTTCAAGGTGTAGGGTTTAAGGTTTAGGATTTGGGGTTGAGGGTTGGGGGGTTTCATGTGGGAGGTTCCGAAAATTAGGGGTATCTTATTTTGGGGTCCTTATAATAAGGATCCTACTATTTAGGATACTATGTTAGGGTCCCCTCTTTTCGAAAACTCCCATGTCAGATAGGCCTGGGAGATAGGGTTTTCAGGCGCCAGCTGCTCTCTGCAGGTGTTCATGTTGTCCTTCCTTACCTTTGGTTAGCAGGGAACGGAGGAATGGGGTACCACTATAACTACTATTACTACCATTCTTCCATTCCCTACTAACCAAAGGTAAGCTTCGCGCTCTGCGATGCGATCGCAACTGCGGTGAACACCTCCAGCCCCAAAAAAAGAACCTGCGACCTGGACAAACGGTCCCGAGCAGCAAACGTTCGTACGAAGCGTTGCTGGCCCAGGGCTCCGAGCTTCGACTGCTGGCTTTTCAGGCAGGTCTTCCCAAGACTCTTCCGAACACACGAAACATGAAATCTCAAACCGTAAACCCTTGCATACCAGAACTGTAAGTCAAACTCTCTACATGGTCCTTCATGTCCAGATTGAGGGTCCAGGTTTAAAGATTCAGACCCACGATTCAGTATTTAAGATATTTTAAGGCAGCTCGTATTGTAACCCTCCCCCCAAAGACCAAAGCACCGGTATTCGGGAGTGGCCCGTTTGCACGATCCAGTCCATGGTGGCCTCTGCCAGGCAGCGTTCGAGAGTTGGGCAAAGACCGTCCGGGCCAAAGACAGGGGATCTTGGGCGTGGGAATGTAATGGCTTCGACAGCAAACAGCTTAAGGTTTGGGAATGAGAAGTTTTTGGGGGGGTTCAGGGGTTCGGGTTTGGTTTCATTTTTGTAGCGGGCAGAGTCTTCAGCTGACCCCTGCGCTCGATCTTCTTCGTAGGCTTTCGCCTTTTTCTCTCTCTGGCGGCTCTCGAGCCTGTGGAGGGGCAGGGTTTAGGGTTTAGGGTTTATATAAGATTTAGGGTGTATATAAGGTTTAGGCTTTAAGGGGTATATAAGATATGTGGTGTATATAAGATTTAGGGCTTTGTGTTTATATAAGATTTAGGGCCAATTTAAGGTGTATATAACGTTTAGGGTTAAGGGCTTATATAAGATTTAGGATATATATATATATATATATATATATATAAGGTTTTGGGTTTAGGGTTTATACAAGATTTAGGGTTTAGGATTACCCAAATCTGAGGATTTCTTGGTAGTTCTATAGTTTAAGGGAGGTTATGGAATACTTCTTATTGAAGTTGAGTCTCGCTGTCTCAATCACTTTGCCGACCTCGTCGAGGACGGCATCGGTGGCAAGAGATTGCACCCGGCCGATGGGCGTCATGCAGTCCTGCTTTTCGCGTGGCACGCGCGGAACTTGAGGAACACGGTTCAGGGTTTACGGTTTTGTGCTCAGGTTTTAGGGGCCGAGGGTTTAGGGTTTACATTTTACGGCTTAAGGCTCAGGGTTTGGGGTCTAGGGTTTAAGATTTGTCTACATGCGTTTGCGTGGATTTTCTGGTGTTGCTTTGTCTTTCGGACTTCTGGGGTCGGAGCTGTGACGGTCAGGCGGGTAGTCAGAATAAGGGTTTGAGGGTATTACCTACTATCATGATGACATGATAAGGACTATAAGACGTAGTATTTATCGACCTCTAGAGCAAAAGCCCGCGAGTTTCCGAAGATCCTGGACAGAGCCCGCTTCCCCCAAAAGGGTCCTGACAGCGCTTCTGGGCCATGCACAGGGCGCCCTGCATGATGTCAGCCTGCTCTTAGCTCTGTCAGGGCTTTTTTTGTTTTGAGTGCAATGGGGCCTTTTTCTGCAGAAGGTCCGGCCGATTTCGGCCTACACTAGCACAGATCACTTCGACGGATCCGTACAGACGAACAAGAACTTTCAAGGCTTTTAGAGTCTGGGGTTCGGCATTTAGGGTTCCGGTTTCAGAGTAAAGGATCTGTTTTTGCGGCATGAGCTGCTGAGACACAAACACGTGCTTTTGCAGAGTCCGAGCACATTTCAGGCTGTGTCGTGAATGCAGGTCTCGAAGACACATTGTCAACTAGTATAGGGGCCTTCATACTCAAAATAGGGTCTCGGGGCCCATTATACTATAACTATAATAACGAACCCCGAAAATGGTATAGGTAACTACTAAGCCCCTATAGTAGCCGTACAGCTAGGGATGGCAGCACCAGCAATGAAGCGCCAAGCGTGGCAAAACCGCCCGATGCACGAGCTTTCACGTTGGTAGTTGCTGAGTTTGCGAAAATAGGGGTACCTGATTTTTTTTTGGGGGGGGGTCCTTATAGTAAGGATCCTACTATTTAGGGTACTACAGTATATTAGGGTCCCGGAAGGGTCTTCAGACACAGGGCGCAGCAGAGGGTTACAAGCACAGTTTCTGAAGGCTCCGCAAGTTTCTTAAACAGGATCTAAGGTTTAGGGTTGAGGGTACTTTGTTCCTCCTGAACCCTACATCCTCCATCAAGTCTCAAACCTTGAACGATTAATTCGAGTGTGTCCAGCATTCCAAGCCTTCGGGTGGGGGAATAAGATGGCAATCGAAAGTCTACATCTGACAGCGCTCAACCCTCAAACCCCTCAAAATGCTGGTTTAGGGTATCGGTATAGGGCTTTGGAGTCCGAAAACCCTTCAGAAACAGCAAAACAAAGCTTCAAGATGGATTTCCTAAACCCTAAGCCCTAAACCCTAAACCCCAGCTTTTCAACCAGCAGCTCAAAGCCCTCGAGGCCGGCGGCATTCGGGATTCAGACTTTGCCGTTTAGGATGTAGGATTTGGGGCTTAGGGGCTTTGGGCTTTAAGGGTTCACACCCTTTCGTTGACATACAATGCGCTTCGAGCTCGAGACCCCTCGAAATCCTAACTCCTGTTCCAAGGCCTCCTCACGGGAAAGGTGACCCCTCTCCCGATGGATGTCCAGCGCTGCGGCCATCTCCGCCCCCGCGAAAAAGTGTCCTGATGGGGTACTGATGGGGTATCAAATAGACTTTCGGCCTATTTGGCCTCGGGCTGGGGTCTGGGGAGTGGGGTCCGTACTCGGATTTACGGTTGTAGGATTCTGATTTCAGGGCCTAGGATGTGTGGGTGAGGGGTTTAAGGCTGGGGGACGAGAGAGATTCCGGGACTCCGTCAGGTCCTTATGAGGAAAGGGCGGCTTCAGCAGCTTCCGGACTTGCGTCTTGAGGCTCTGGCTCTAGAAAGCGCGACTTGCTTTGCAATTCAAGCTTCGCTGTGGGAATTCGTCACTTACGGGCTTCGTAGCCTGTGGAAAAACCTAAAGGCTTTGGCCCAAAGCCTGAAACAAAACCAACAAGAACGGCTAACCTCAAACACCTACCGAAGCATCCACACCTTCGTCGTGGCCGAGGACGCAATCCAGAAGCTTGGCGATGGGCCAAGCAATGGGCCAGCAAAGCACCAACAAACCTGAGATTTGGAGTTTAGGATGTTGGAATTCGGATTCAGCGTGTAGCACGCAGGCCAAAGGGAGGACTCAAGGTTACGGGTTTTGGACTGGGTATCTAGGTTTTCGGATCTGGAAGACTCTGATGAAGCGTGGTGGAGCGTCGGGCGCTGCGCTTTAGGCTTGAAGTTTGCTGGCATACTTATCCGTAGAGTTCTCAAAATATCTGACCTAGATCCGGCAGCTGACATATGCTTCCAGATATGCCTCTAGATGAAACTGCGACTTAAGAGCCATGATATTCGCGACAGTGAGTATTACACTGGAAGTCGCCATAATCAACAAAGTGAACCTCCACGTCTTATTCAGGCCCACACCCCACAACGTGAGGTTTTGGTCAGGGTGTCCATCGGCTTCGACAGACATTGGTTGGAACTAACTCTAAACTGCCTATGCCAACTCACGACATGCTGGATCAGAATCCCCTTCGACTTGCAAACGAACTGCGCTGCAGGACACCCAACATGACAGAGCATGCCATTGAAAAGGAAAATGCTCAACTCCCACTTCCAACTGCCAGGCCTACATGCAAGCCGAATGCCAGTCAGAGAACGCAGCACTTCCTGTAAACTTCATAGAGCTTGGGGTTTGGGCTGTAGGCTTTAGGGCTTTAGGTCTAGGGCTCTGAGCCAGCAAACAAGTGCTGACTCTGGAAGTCCAAGAAGAGACGAACAAACAAAAAAGAACAACAGACAAAAACAAACAAGAAACAGAAGAGGTGGCCGTGGGAGGTGCTTTGCTTGGCCTTATATGCTTAGTGCGGTGTTTGCTTGTGTGTGTGTGCTTCTTTTTGTTTTTTGCCGTCTGTTTCCTTATTCATTTAGTTTTTTGTGTTTTCCTCTGAAACAAATTTACGAAAAAACTGCAAGCAAACAAACAAACAACAAACTAGCCTCAGGAGTTGGTGCTGTGATTTCGCTTTTTGGCTGTTAATTCGTGTCTTTCCGTTGTTTCTTCGCTTCTGGCTTGATTCACCTGCTCAAAATTTATTTGCTTGCATTTATTTTATGTGTTCTTTATCTCTTTCTACCCTTTCCCAGTGGTTGCATGATGCGCTGTCCGATGTCTAGAGTCTAGGGTCTAGGCGCAGTTTCAAGGAACCGAAAGGCCCGAAACCCTCTTCTGCCGAGGTGCATCTCACGAGAGGCGCGGCTGCCGCGCCCACCGCGAGGCCGTAGGCTTTGCAGACGGCCTTCCAGAGCGGTCGTGGCCAGAATACTTAGAGGATCAAGGGACTTAGTAAGTATGGTTATAAGTACACCCTAGTTACTAAGTCCCATGATCCCCTAAGGAGGGCTTCAGGGTTTCAGGGTTAAACAGCTTAACCAAAAAGCCTAAATCCCAAAAGACCCTCAACCCTGAACCCTAAACATACGATGGCGTATTCCTCATAAGCACTCAGAGCCTCTTGCCCGGGACCTCTCATGATCAGAAGGCCTCGGTCTGTACCCCAGGTCACCCGTATCTTCAAGATTCAAGACCTCAAAGGGGGCACCAAAGAGTACCTCACTCCTATCTTGAGTTTACGGTTCAGGCTTATCTACCAGATGGGGACAAGCACCCCGCTACCCGGATTGGGGCTGTGAAGTCACTGCCACGGTTTGGGGCTTCGGGCTTCGGGTTTAGGAAACAACAGCTCGGGACACATCGAAGCCCGCGACCCGGAGCCCCTCCCTCCCTCCTGGAGACGCCAATATCCCTTACTTAAGGAATATGCCGCAAATCACGAGGGATCCTGCTCTACTTTTGGGTATATTCCTGAATTAAGCCTCCCAAAGAGAGAGATCAACATGCCTGCGGTATAATCTCGCCAAAGGCGAGCACCTGAGTTAGGCTGGGGGCACGATCGGAGGCCCAGTTCAAGATCCGAGCCCCAGACTTGAAAACGTAAGACCCTGAACCCCACGTCCCTAAACGACTAAAGCCCCTAGCCTGATCTATGACAACGATCTACTGGCTCATATGTGGCATCGGGTCAGGAATAGCATCCGGCACGTGAGGTTTCTTTCCCAGTGTACCAGCCGTCCCTGGTCCAGCGTGCAATAGGGGTTGAGAGCTTCGGCTGCGGAGGATGCGCATGTATGTAGACACATACATACATATATACATATATATATGCATATATATATATATATATATGTATGTACGCAAACATACATATGCATGTGTATGTATCTATATTAGTCTATATGCACATGCACATCTACATGTACATATTACACATATAGGGTATCGGATCGAGCTGGAAGCCCGTAGCAACCAGCATTGCCGAGCGCCCCAGTGCTGAGAGCACGCAACAGCCATTGCCACGCGCTGATCACCCCCCTGGCATCGGAGGCTCCGAAAACGAAGGGCGGCCGCACAGAAGGTCTGTCCACCTCGCCCGTGAACAGGGGCGCCCACCACGCAAGGGACTGCTGCAGTTCCTCTGCTCGCACCACAGCAAGCCAAAGTACCGCGAGATCCCTATGGGTCGAGGCCGCGATCAGGAAGGATGGGACGGCAACGACTACCATGGTGGATGGCGTTCGCATGGATCCTGGCAGCACAAGGGAGATGGCCGTGGAAAACAGCAGCCCCAACGACCACGGGACAACAAAGGCCCGAGCTCAGCTTTCCCATCCTTCGAAGAGATGGAAGTGAAGAGCACAGACAAAAGCAGACCGACGCGCCGACCCACGAAGCACGAGGACGAGAAGGACTCAGAAGAGCTCTTGGGTGGCCAGGAAAGGGTCAAAGGCTTCCAAAAGATCCTCAACAACCTTCGCAGGGCAGAAGGCCGGCTGCGCAAGGGCGAGGAGGAGAAGTCGTCTCTGGAAGCCCGATGGAAACAATGGCAGCAGGAGGCGAAGAAAAGCTTCCTGAAGGAAAGGAAGAAGTACCTCGACCGCATTGCCAAGAATACGGAGGAGTACATCGAGAACCAGGTGAACAGAGACGGCGCCCTCCAGGAGCTGCAGGAGGTCCTGACAACGGGCATGTATGTGAGACAGAACAAAGAGGCCCCAGTCGACCCGGAGGCGGAGAACGAATGGGACAAGCTGCTGGGCGGGCCGATGGAAGAGGATGCATCGCTCTCGGACGCCCTTGCGGGAGCCCTTGCGGAAGGCCGTGGCATGGAGTCAACGAGAACAAGTATGCTCCGACTCATAGCCCAGCACCAGGCAGCGGACCGCGGGACAACCACTCCAAGGAGACGACGACCGGAACCTGCTGCCTCAACGCCACCGACGACCAAGGAGGCCCGACGTGGGGGCATAGGGCAGGAGAACCAGGACATGGCCAAGGAGGCAACCTATGTCCCGACGATGGGGTTGAACCGCGACCCATACATGACGTCCCCAACAACGGCAGGGCGAATGCCAAGAGTGAGAGAGGCGAGCCGATCGAGGCCAAAGGCAAGGACGCCGATCAAGGAAATGGGCAAACAGAAGACGGCTCCAGATACCGGAACGACGTCCCTGGCGGAGAAGTTGGAGCTCCGGCGAAGGGAGGAGCTCGCAAGGGAGACCCAGACGATCGAGGAGGAAACCGACGAGGAGCAGGTCGTCGGCGAACTGGGTCGCAATGGCACGGAGAACGACGGAAACAACATCAAGTAGCACACCACCCACAAGGACAAAGAAAAGGTCATGGTCGCTGCCGATCGCCGAGGCAGCGGATGATATATGGCGATGACCCCGGGAGTGGGGAAGACACGGTGCGGAGACCGGTGTCCACTATCAGGCAGTGCACCAGCAGCTTTTTCGGTATGTCTGCTTGGTGGTATAGCTGCAACAATTTTGGAAGTGAAGGGTGTGATCGAGATGTTGAGGAGAACCAGAGGCCGTTTGAGGACAATAAGGACAAAGCCCAAGGTGAGACTGAGGGTCTGCAGGTCGGCGACTATAAGGACATGGTCCTCTACCGAGAGAAGACCTCGGTGTACGACAACGCCGCCCTCATGGACCTCTACGGCAACACCAGTGGAGGACTGAGTGATATTGGCCTGTGCCTTGATCACTGGGCAAACGGGCTGATCAATAGTGTCAAGGTCAGTGTCATGGTAATCCTTGGGGCCGTCCTGGTGGCCAGTTGCCGGTGGTCCAGACCGTTTGCTACAGGATCCCGAGGACGAGCCACACCCGCTCTCATCAGGGCCATTTTGGCCTTCGGAATTGTCGGAGGTGTTGGGGCCATGGGGCCATCGAGACCAACCCCTCGATGCAGTGAGAGTTGGAGAAGACCTACAGACCTGGAGCTTTGGGCTGCGGGACAACAGACCTACCGGGAGCAAATGATAGCGGCGAACAACCGAGTGATATGGGAGAGACCAATCTATAGTGGAGGCTCCCACTCGGACAACATCTATGCCCACGGGCCACCACGACTTCCCGAAAACCCGCCGCTATCACCAGACGAACTTGACGACGGCGAGGTGGAATGGCATGACATTGCCGAGGACGAGGAGAGAACTACACATATCTCTTTCTGGGTCTCTTCTCCATATTGGGAGCCGGAGTCGCTCGATGTGGCACTACAGTTCCCCATCACCGAGCGACGTGTCACGGAGATCATTGCGGACTCGGTGCGGCACCTGCAACATGACTGGTTGAATGATATGGTCCCGACCTGGCCGCAGCTCAGTGCGGATTATGGAAGCTACATCATGATCCCGTCCTGGGTCAGGGAGTCGGAGAATACAACGGTCGTCCTGTTGGATGGGCGGCGATTCGACAAAGGGGTCTTTCCGATGTACTTCCGAGGCCCCCTCACCAGAACGGCTGTATTGCGGATGCTGGACATTGACCCCGCGGCACCGGCAGCTGTATATGTGGGAGGAACAATGGTCCCTCTCGTAGAGGGCGAACAGTTTACGACCTGCCAGGGAAGCCTTGTACAAGTCCTTACCACCAGGGACAATGTTGGATGGCACGGTGCCATATCGGAACGTTTCGAAGACCCGATGCTCTGGAACCCGGACACAGAACACCCTGCCAACATCCTTGGACAGTACATTGAGTTCCAGTCTGCCCACGCGAACTATCTGCACAGGCTACACCGGCGAGACGACAGCACCCCCATGGAAATTGCCAGCGAGGCCTACGATATGCCCCCGCAGGCATTCTGGCTCCGGGCACCTACGGAGAGACCAGAACGGCTATGTCTCAGGGGCCGACGAGTTCACTCAGAGATTGCTGTGGTTGAACATGCGCAGCATGATCGTGAACAGGCAAAGATCGTGATCCTGGACCTCCGGCCTATCGGCCTGTGGGTCCAGTGGGCAGTGGCCGACAACGGCATCTTTGAGCCGGGCATCTACTTGGAGGGCCTGCAGCTTGAAGTCGTGGAAGGATACTCGCTAGTTGTCCACGGTGGTGTCAAACAAAGGAACCGCCGATTGCTCAAAGTCGATGACGGCGAGGTTCTAAATGTCACCCTGGAGGAAACCAGGCATCTTACGCCAGAAGATGACAGTGACGGTTCTGACGGTGGCCTTGATGATGAGACATCGGAGGGAGAGGACCCAATGCCCAACTCCTCAGACCTTTCTGGCCCTGATACACCACCGGTGGGACCAGGCCCTTTCGGACCACCACCGCCACAACCAGTCAACAGCAGGAGCCGATCGCCTAGACGCGACCACCGCCCAGAAGAGGGCCCCGAGGAACCTTATGTTGTGGCCCTCAGCAAACATCTCCCACCAGTGGCCTTCGAGATGGACGTGAACTGTATCCAAATGCCCCATCGTCACGACCTGCTCAGCCGTACATTTTGGACCTGGCCACCGAACTGGATGCAGTACGATATCACAAATCTTCCGCTGAAGGAGGCTACCAAAGGAGCGATGCACCGCCTAGTGCACTGGAGCCAAGTCATGGCGGCGAGAACTGACCAGCAGCGTCTCGAGGCCCACATCTACACGGACGGCTCGTTCTATGAAGCAAAGGGCCGTGAGTTGCTGTGCTACTGCACTGCGCAGGGCTCATCGCCCTATGCGGGGTCTTTGGAGGCACCGTCCAATGTGATGCGAGTGATGTGTGGGCATTCGCAGCACCGCAAGCTCTCAAGGTTGAACAGATTGCTGTTGCAGCAGCCTTGCTGTGGGTCGGACAGAGCCGGATGAGCCTCCCACTGGACAAGGTCCTCATCGCCTACGACTGTCAAGTGGCAGGAATGGGGGCCACGGGCCACTGGCAACACTACGGCGAGTTTGGCGGCAAAGTGAGGGCACTGGAAGCAACGGTCGAGGAGATGATGTATGGCACTTTGGAGATGCACCACGTCAAGGCCCATGTGGGCCAAGAGTGGAATGAGCTCGTTGATGTTGTGGCTAAAGCGTGTACCGAGCCTGGCCATGAGATCCCCACCGTGCCGGATGATGTGTGCCAGGCCTTTATGGATTTGGACATGAGATGGACCATGAGCACCCTTCGAGCCGGACGCCTGCAGGACCTCAACGTGCAGGCGGGAGAATGGCTTATCACACCGGAACGTCAACCAGACATGGCCAGCCCCCTCGGACCGGAGGACCTGATCCCAATGACCACCCGCCAGCCTCGCGATGGTCGCAAGACAGCCCACAAGTTCAGTCTCAAGTGCCTGTCTGTCAACATACAGGGACTCAAGGGCAAGCACCGCTACCTGGACGAGCAGTGGAATTATGGACAGTACCAGCTGATCTTCATCCAAGAGACCAAGGACGCTGAAGGCAGCACAGCGAGCTGCAACTACTGGAGATTGGCGGCCCCCTCTCAAGCCCACTGGGGGACGGCGATATGGGTCAGCAAACAGTGGGGCTGTATGACTGTTGACGACCAGCCCTTGATGATTGCGCCGGCGGATGTACGGGTACGGTATCAGGGACCAAGACTACTTGTCATGGAAATCACCAAAGGCGACCTCGTGATCATCGCTTTCTCCGCGCACATCCCCCATGCAGCAAAAGCAACTGAGAGGGAGGACTTCATGAAAAAGCTGGAAGAACAGCTCAGGAGTGCACCGAGGGCGGCGCTCGTAGTGGGAGGAGTCGACGCCAACAGTCGGCCACCCCCGAACTATGAACAAGCCACGGGGGGGTTACTGTGGAGCACAAAGTTAATGTATGCAGTGACAAGTCTTCTGCTTCCGATGATCATTCAATCCTGTACTCCGCTGTTGTTTCAGAGAAGGCTCCACCCTAGGTTCACAACCCCCTCTCCGGCAGGCGAACATCACCGAAGGCGTTGTGGATCGTCAAGTGAAAAAGTCTCGGTGCGACGAGGCCCGGGATGGCAGTGCTTGTGTAGACCCCTTAGAGTTTGTTACTGGTAGCGGAGCTTGTGTGCTCCAGTAGTGCTCTGCGCAATGTCAAGCAATGTGACGGGCCCTCCTCCGGGGTTTGGCCCTGATGATGCGGGCTCTCCTGAGCCACCTGTGGCGATGCCGCCTTCTCCAAGCTTCGGGGGCGGCGACAAAGTTGAGTCTGTCAGTGGTGCCAAGCCTGGCAATGCTAGCGATGATCCTGGACGTGAGTTTTTTGACAAGGATGCGAGTGGTGCCGGAAAAGGGCATCAAACAAGCGGGTCCACTCAGTCTGAGTGGAAAGATGGGGATCGTGCCCCGCCGCCGGGGAATGGCGGCCAGGCGCGAGCTGGAGATGATGGTGGAGGTCGCCAATCTCACGCCGGAGATGACGACCCCTGGACCGATGGAGCGGATCCATGGCAGCAGCGCCGCTGGAATGACGGCGGCAGATCCACCTGGAGCGCGACTACGGCGCCCACTACGGGAGACGACAGATGGTCGTGGAGCCATCATCGAGGGAATCACGATCGAGGAGAATGGAGGCGAGACTGGGACGCTGATCAGCGAGGAGATGGCTACTGGGCAGACGGACGCGATGGAGGGTTTCGCGGACGCGATCAGGGAGGCCAGCGAGGCGATCCCTGGGCAGATGGTCGAGACCGTGGACCGCGTGGCCCAGATTCGGGAGTGCTTGGAGGCGCTCCGTGGGCGGATGGTCGAGACCCTGGCCTTCGCTTACACGATCAGGGAGACCTTTGCCGATGGAATGATGGCCGTCATCTTCGATTACCCGATCAGGGAGACCTATGCCGCTGGAATGACAGCCGAGATCGTGGCCCGTGGGCTCCGGAGCAGATCAACCTGTGCAGGTGGAACGACGGACACGGTGGAGTGTCCGACTACGGCGGCCGATCCGACAGCTGGCCCCAGGACAACGGCGGGTCACAAAGTGGATGGCGAGGTTGGGACGATGACCAAGGCCGCGGTCCCCGTCCCACCGAGAAGGTGAACGTCCCAACGTTCACGGCGGAGGAATCTGAGGACCTCGGCAACTCTGCGCGATCTTACTTGAGGCAGATTGAGGTGTGGAAGAGAATCACTAGACTACCAGTCAACCAGTTGGGCTTGATCCTCTACCAACACCTTAGTGGGAAAGCCTGGATTGCCGCCGAGGAGCTGTCAGTGCAAAGGCTCAGCTCCAATGAAGGACTCCACTACTTCACGAGCTGGGTGTCTGCGAGGTTCTTGGACCTGGAGGTTGCGAGAATAGGACGGGCCTTTTCAGACTTCTTTCGGAAGCTCCGCCGCCGCCCAGGTCAGACAATCAGGGAGTACAACACGGAGTACGACAGACTCCACGGCCGCCTCAGGGAGGTCGGGTGCTCTCTTCCTGAAGAGTGCTCGGCATGGCTTTACTTGGACCGCCTTCAGTTGGATGAGCCTCAAGAACTTAACCTTCTTGCCAGTGTTGGAAACCGGTATAGTTTGCACCACTTACAGCATGCTGCAGTTCTACATGATCGTGGTCAAAGGAAGCCCTGGGAAGCTAACGCTAAGCCGAGGCGTACCAACTACACCCACATGACGGACCACGACCTCGAGAGCGACGAGGAGGACCTGCTGAACGGCGAAGAGGGCATCCCGGAGGATGTGGCGGAGGCCTACGTGACGTACCAGTCCGCCAAGGACCGGTACCGCGCCCAGCAGCGCGGAAGAGGCCCGACTGGCGACAAAGGCGGAAGTCCCGATGGCCAGCCACCGGGAGGAGCAGAACGGCGACCTGGAGAGAAGCGCAACTCGGAGCACGAGTCGAGGATCAAGGCCATGAAGGCAAAGAGCTTTTGCAGTGGATGTGGCCGTAAAGGCCACTGGCACAAAGATGATGCGTGCCCTTTGAACAAGGGCGACAGCGGTGCGAAGGGCGAGACCGGGGCGAGTGTGGCCATGACGACGGTGCTCCCGGCGGACGTCTTTGCCTTAAAGCACGTCCCGAACATGTTGCTCGGGGTGGCGGACACGGCGTGTGCCCGAACGGTGGCGGGAACCCAGTGGCTCCAGTCCTACACGAACCTGCTGGAGGAGTTCGGGCGGAAGCCGGTGCTACAGAAAGAGTGCGAGGCCTACCGGTTCGGGACAGGAAAGGTCCATTACAGCTCCTTCTACGTGATCGTGGCCTTCAGACTTGGGGGTTTCAACATCCAGGTGCGCACCTCCATCATCGCCGGCGACATCCCGTTGCTCCTTAGCAAAACTGTGTTGGGCAAGCTTGGGATGGTTTACGATGTCCAGAACGGGAAGGCCGATTTCAAGGCGATCAACTTGATGAACTACGAGCTCACGAACACCTCGTCTGGACACCCGGCAATACCGATCGTCCCTGTCGATGTTCACTCTGGCGGAACGCCAAACCTACAGGTTGAAGACCTTCGACTTCAGCAGGCTGAGCAATACATGACCGTCTATGCAGTAGCACACCATGGACCCCAAGCCCCGAAGTATTCCGGAATCTTCTACGACAAGAAACTCGACCCGAGCACCCGAGACATGTTGAGTCAGGACCGTTTGCAGCGCGACGTGTTTGTCACATGGTGGGAGAAGTCGAAGTTTGATCGTGACTTTTGGTTAGAGACACCTTACATGTGGGTGAGAGTGCACCTTGTTCCTCGGAGGGCGATGTTTAATCCTTCTACCTGGCGTACGGGTTCAACAGTCCAGAGGGATATGCTGGTCTCTTCCATTGGAGATGTTCGCGTCACAGAGTGCGTCTGTTGCAAGACTGGTGGCTGGATAGAGTCGACTGTAGACCGATGGCTGCCAGGACAAATCGATCAGGTGTCTTTCCCGTCGCTTTGGATCGGAAGAACAGTGTTCTACAAAGCACTAGCCCCCGGGCCTTCCCTTCGCGCACCCCTTCACGGGAATGGACTCCGAGGCATGCTCCACCAAGGTGCCGGTGAGCCGCATGACCAAGGCGCAGTTGCTCCAGGAGGCGCTCAGAGTGGGAGCCACCGTTCACCACACGTGGACGGTGGTGGAGCTGAGGGCCACGATCCGCGACCACGTCGACACCTTCCACGAGAAGACCCCGGGACAGAAGATGAAAGGGCTCAGCTCGATGAACTTACCGGACCTGAAGGAGAAAGCCCGCGAGATGGGGGTGATGGTTCCGGACAAGATCACCAAAGGGAACCTACTTCGTCTCATCAGGAGCACGGTGAGCACCGAGAGCGACACGGTCATGACGATCGGACGGTGGAAGGGGAGTCTTTATCGGGAGATACCAGACTCCTACGGCAGCTGGGCGGCGGCGGAGGTGGCACGTTCCCAGAACAGCTCACCCGAGCTGGCGATGTTCGCCCGATGGTGGCAAGCCCAGCAGCTCAACAAGTCGGCGACGGCCGAGATCCTGGACGAGGACAGCGAGGCGGAGCCCAAGGCGAGCACCCACAAGACCTCAACGCCATCGAGGGGATCGTGGGACGAGGTGAGCATCGTGAACGACAAGACGCCGGACAAGGGCTACCCGGCCCATCGTGGGAAGGGGAACACAAAGGCAACGCCGAAGCGTCTCAACTGGGAGGCGGAAGAGAAGGCCGAGAAGATCATGGAGGCGGAGCCGAGCCCCGAGGCGTTAGCGGAGATTCAGGCCCTGGAAACCAGGCTCGCGGTGCTCAAAGACAAAGCAAGAAGCTCAAGGCAGTGAAATTCGATGTGGGGCCTCCCGGCCCCACGTGTGGCATCGGCTGCCATCGACAGCGAAAGTGGGATGTGGCGTGCTGCGGTGAAGTATGTGACGAAGACCGTATATCTGAGGTTGAGTATGTGCGGGGCTACTATAATCAAGCCGTGAACTTCAGCACCACCCACGAGCCAGTGAGGAATGACGGCGATGCCACCGGCCTCTCCTTTGTGAAGGCTCACGACAACATGCACAACGATCGTCGGGATGGAGTTCGAAATCCTTGCCCACTACGTTTCGGTGACGAGTCTTTCCCTTGGGAAGATCACTCGTTTGAGGCCTGTCAAAGACTCCTCGGATCTACGTTCACACCCAACAACTCGGCTTCGCTGAGGCCGATCCAACGAGGAGAAGGAGGCGAAGACGGCGAGCTCTACCTCACCGTCGGGATGTACACCCACGGCGGCGTGCACGGGATCACCCGCGCAACCAAGGACAGCGACGCCATCGTCCGCTACCTCAATCACTTTGGGAAACGGCACCTTGGCGAGCAGGCTACGTGGTCTTCCATATCCATCACAAAGAATGTCTCTTGCGATATCCACCGCGATTCCAACAACCTGCGAGGATCCCAGAACTACTGCGCGACGTTTGGACAGCGAGCCGGCGGGGAACTCTGGTTGGAAGAGGAGATTGACGAGGACGGTGCCGGCGACAAGGAGATTGTGTGGAAGCGTGATAGGACTGGGTCCTGGGTTCCTGGTAGGCACCACAACACAAAGAACGACTTCGTCGCCTTCGACCCGTTCCTGCGACATGCCACCAAGGAGTGGCAGGGAGAGCGATGGTGCATCACTTACCACACCGTGCGGGGGGCGAGCGAGGTCGGGAACGAGATCAAGAAGTTCCTCAGGCGAAGTGGTTTTCCTTTGCCGCGGCTTACCAAGCCCGGCAAGACGACTACGAGACCCAAGCCAGCAAAGAGTGAAAGAAAATCGATTATGAATGCCGCCGGGAAGATCAGTGTTCTGATGGCCACCTTTATGGCAGCGGCGGCTAGCTACGTGAGTGAGGTACAGGAGCCCAAGGCGGAGTACGACCCGATCGTGATGATGGAGATTGGCGGCTACGAGGGCACCTACGAGGCAACAGCGCTGAGCAAGATGGTGATCGAGCCGATCATGTGGAAGGACTATGAGGACCCGGAGGTCCAAGAGAATGCCCACCACTTCGTGAAGGGCGCGAGCCCAAAGGAGCTGCGGATCCACCTGGACGGCATGCCTGCAAAGGTTGAGGACGCGATCGAGAACCTGATCAAGGACCAAATCCACGAGGCAGGAGATGTTGTTCTACGAGGCAGCGAATTACGTTTGTGGGAGACTAAGTTCGTCGACTACGTGAAGTACAAGAACGGTGCCAATGGCGACCACTGGCTCCTACTGGGACGTCCCAAAAGGGACGGAACTACGGTGAGCGGCTTTCCACGGCCGCACGAAGTGTGTATGGTCGGCCATGACGGCGATGAAAAGAAGGCCATCAATCTCGATGGGACGGGCATCACCTTTGATGATGGGGTTCCGGGAATCCTACAGAGCTCGTTGCGGAGGCTACACCAGAATTTGGGCCACCCCAGGGGGGAAGACCTGTGTCGTCATCTCAGACTCGCAGGGTGTGAGCCGAATGTGATCAAGGCCGTCAAGGGCATGAAGTGCGAAACTTGCCAGGCATCTAAGCACGCTCAGATTGCGCGGCCCACTGCAATGCCCCGACTGCTTGACTTCAACTCCTGCGTCGGGGTTGACATCTTCTACGCCCACGACGCCCTCGACAAGCGCCACGCGTTCCTCACTGTGGTTGATTGGGCCACCACCTACCAGGCCGTTATGAAGCTTGAGCACGAGGATGGCCCTTCAGTCGAGAGGGCCTTCAACACATGCTGGCTGACACCATTCGGGCCACCAACCACGGTGTCCCTCGACCTCGACGGCAAGGTACAAGCTGGACTCGGTCGCCTATGTGATTGGCACAACATCAAGATGAAAGACGTTGCCGCCCAAGCTAAATGGCAAGGGGGGGTGACCGAGCGCCAAATCGGATGGTTCAAAGGTATTTGGGAACGCGTTGTTCACGAGCTCAACATCGAGGGCGAGGAGGCCGAGTTAGCTGGAGCTCTGGTGTGCGCGGCGAAGAACGACTTGAGGAGGAGGTGTGGGCACAGTCCCACACAATGGGTCCTCGGGAAGTCACCCCGCATTCCCGAAGAACTCTGTGATCCTGATTCCGGAGGTACCGTGACCTGGGATCTGACGGAGGACTCAAAGTTCCAGAGAGCAGCGGCTATCAGGGCGAGCGCCAGAGTGGCGTTCCACCAAGCCCAAGGAGATGATCGACTACGGCGAGGACTACTACATCGGGCCAGGACAGCCAAGGCCACTTATGAGGTCGGGGAGCCGGTGCATTACTGGGACCAGCCCAAAGACCGAAGGCGGCCTCACTGGATTGGGCCGGCAGTCATCGTCGGCCGCCAAGGCGGCAACTACTGGGTGTCCAGAAATGGACGCTGCCGGCTTACAGCGCCGGAGCACTTGAGAAGCTCCGGGCCGGAGGAGATCGGGGAGTTCCTCACCATGAGAGGGGTCAGAACCGAGGTCAACAAGCTCTTGGCTATGGACCTGGACGACCCCGACACCTATATGGACGTCGACGGCGAGGAAGGGGACCGCGCTGGGACGATCGGAGACGACTACCGCGAGAGTGTCAAGAGGAAGGACGACGGAGAAGACCACCTCTCCGAGTACGAGCCTTCGGAGGACGAGATCGTGCTCAGTGGCGACGAGGCCATGCCAATGGACGGCGGCCCCGATGCCACCCTGGAACATGTACTACCTCAACGCCGTCTCCGACGTAAGACCAGAAGACAGGATGTTCAGGCCAATCCAGGCCAGGTTCTGCTCACCCACAAGGCCCTTACCCAGAGAGGCCAAGCGAAGAGGCAAGAGAAAGAACTACGTTGGTCAGAGATACCGGAGAGTGCCCGACCCTTGTTCAAAGAAGCCGAGAAAGTCCAATGGGAAGAACACCTGAGCTACGACGCCCTGGAGCCACTTACGAGCGAACAGTCCAAATGGGTCCGGGCCAACGTTCCTTCCTCCAGGATTCTGCCGTGCAGGTGGGCCTACCGCGACAAGAACTGGGCAGCCAGAAAGAGCGCAGAACAAGCTGAAGGTGAGAGCGAACCCAAATGGAGATGCAAGAGCAGGTTGGTTATCGGAGGGCACCGCGATCCCGACTTGGGGGTCAAAGACCTGGACACGGACGCGCCGACTTTGTCGCGTCCTGGGCTACTTTGCCTGATGCAGCTCCTAGCCAATGGTTTAAAGAAGGAGGACCCTTGGACTGCCGCCGCCGGGGACATCCAGTGCGCCTTCCTCACGGGCGGCTACTTGACTAGAGGAGAGGACCTCTACCTACACCAGCCGGCGACTGGGTTCCCAGGCCTTTTGCCGGATCAGCTGATCCGCATCAAGAAGAATATCTTCGGACTGGCTACGTCACCGCATGAGTGGTGGATGGACCTGCAGGCCGGAATGCTGAAGGTCAAGATCGACTACGAAGGTGCCGTCTACTCCTTTGAGCCGTGCCCGCTTGACCCATGTATATTTGCACTGCGCAAATTGGAAGGCGAGAAGCACACTGGAAGGCCCATAGGGTATGTTGGGACACACGTCGACGACCTTCTGGTCATCGCCGGCAAGAAGGTGAACAAGCTCATCCAGGCAGGCCTGTCGGAAGCCTTCCCGGTGGACAAGTGGGAAGAAGGACACCTCGACTACGTCGGCACGGAGATCCTATGCGGAGAAGAAGAGGTGATGGTCACGCAGAGAAAGTATGCCGCTACGAGACTATTTACCCTGGACATCCCCAGGGGAGTTGACGATGAGGACCTGGCGGGCCCGGAGCTGATTGCGGACAACCAGTCCTTGATAGGGGCTTTGTCGTGGCTGTCATCTCAGACGCGCCCCGACCTCACCTGCTCGGTGAGTTTGGCGCAACAACTCCAACGACAGCCGACGATAGCTGACTTGAAGTTTACCAACCAGATCTCCAACCGCGCCACTGCCTACAAGGAGCAAGGCCTACGCTTCCGACCGCTGCCGGAGGACTTTGGGGTGATCGTCTACCACGATGCGGCATGGGCGAACGCTCTCGACGACGAGGCCGAGGACGAGCACTTCCGTTTGAGCGAGGAGGACAAGGTGACCGGCTTGATGACGGAGGGTCCCTTTGGCACCAAGCGCGAAAGAAAGGCGAAGCGACAGAATTCCAAGGTGGCTTCGCAGATTGGTGCCTTGGTTTTGTTCGCAGACATGCAGTCCGTCAAGGGGGGGATCGGCAACTTCTCCATTGGAGATTGGCGTTCACGAGCTGGCCAAAGAGTTTGCCGATCAACCTTCGGAGCCGAGACGCAAGCCTGCGTTGAGGGAGTCGAAGGGGCCCAGTACATGCGGTCCTTCATCGAGACCTTGATGACCGGGGAACTCGTGATGGTCGAGGCAGCTCGGGCCCCTCTTCTATGCCTGAGCGATTGCAGATCCCTGTTTGACCATATCCACAAACAGGGCATCCCGAGGGTGCCTACAGACCGACGGCTCGCCATAGATTTGGCGGCTTTGAGACAAAGCCTCAAAAAGGAACAGTGGGCAAACAAGCTGCCATTAGGATGGGTCCCCAGCCACCTCCAACACGGGGACGTTTTGACAAAGCCCGGGGATCCCGGAGTATGGTGGGACGCACAGGCCGCCAAACTGGCGGTACCCATCAGCTTGTCAGAGGCCTGCCAAGCCAATGATTTTTTCGGAGAGAAGAGAACCAGTGTGGAGCACAAAGTTAATGTATGCAGTGACAAGTCTTCTGCTTCCGATGATCATTCAATCCTGTACTCCGCTGTTGTTTCAGAGAAGGCTCCACCCTAGGTTCACAACCCCCTCTCCGGCAGGCGAACATCACCGAAGGCGTTGTGGATCGTCAAGTGAAAAAGTCTCGGTGCGACGAGGCCCGGGATGGCAGTGCTTGTGTAGACCCCTTAGAGTTTGTTAGTTACCCTATGGCACACCGGATGAAGCAGGCAGGCAGTTCGCCGATCTGGCGGTCAAAACCGGTATGTGGCTGCCCGCCACATATGAAGACTTCCATTAAGGGGAGAGCGCCACCTTCCAGCATGCGCTGGGCCATCGTCATCGCATTGACTTCTTGATGGTGGGTGGAGAAGCCCATGTCACAACTGCCTGTAGCTGGGTAGAGCATGAACTGGACCTGGCGTCCCAACGAGATGATCACTGGGCGGTTGCCATGCAGCTTGGTGGCTACACATCATGGCGATCGCGCCCGAGAGGCTTGGCCAAGCCTAAGTATGACCGCCACAAGATGATGACGACCGAGGGCCGGGCGATCCTGGCGAAGGCTTGGAAAGCCTATCAACCTCCGCCGTGGTGGGAGCACGTTGACATACATTGCCGTCACATGCAGAACTACGTCCTGGACGTCCTCAACCGGCACTTCACGATCGAGCAGGGCCGCCCACGTGCCAGATACATCACGGATGAAATCTGGGAATGGCCGGCCAAAAAGATGCGGTTCAAACAGAAAGTCCAGCACAGGAGGGGCCTATGGAAGGAGCTGGTGGACAAAGCGTTTCAACAATGGCGAGGAGATGGAGTACAAGGGCTGGAAAAGCTGATGCAGACGGATTGCCTGCTCTACCAGCTCGCTTCCACAGCCATTGGGGTGATCACACAGAGGATCAAGCGGGCAATGACCACCAGCAAAAACGACCACCTCCAGCAGATTGTGACCACTGGCCCACAATCGGCATGCCAGCTCCTTCGTCGAGTACGTGGAATTGGCATTGGTGGCAAGCGAGCAAACTCGGGCCGCCGACCGCTACCAGCCCTGGTTGATGGAGACGGCAAGGTGGCAAACAGCCAGGAGCAACATGACACCATATGGCTCAACCACTTTGCTGAGCAAGAGTGTGGTACCTGTATGCGTGTCGAGGACTACCTGGCAGAAAAGGACGGGCCGCGAATGGCCCAAGACGCCATCCAATGGCATATCGACGAGTTGCCAACCCTCCAAGAGGTCGAGACGGTCCTGAGATCAGTCCCGGTTGGAAAAGCCTTCGGCTTGGATTTGATCCCTGGAGAAGCCCTGGTGGCTTCGCCGCCGGATGCAGCGGCCATGCTACATGCATTGATGGTGAAGGCCGCTGCTGGCCTGCAACAACCACTGCAGTGGCGCGGAGGCGCCATCCACTCAGCATGGAAGGGAAACGGGGATATGTCCCTCACCAGCAACCACCGGTCGTTGTTCATATCGAGCGTGGTCGGCAAGACATATCACCGCCTACTCCGGAACAAATCGGGGAAATACCTGCAGGCGGAGCTACACGAGATGCACCTCGGTAGTAAGGCTCGATGCCCCATCACGTTCTCGACGCTCTACATCCTGAGCCACATGAGACGGTGCCGCGCAAGAGCCCGCTCAGGAGGAGTGCTGTTCTTGGACACGACCGCGGCCTACTACTCCGTACTACGGGAAGCCGTAGTGGGAGATATCAGGTACGATGAGACGATCGCCCGGTTGATGAAGAGGTTCAACATGGACGCGGATGACATGCGAGAGCTATGGCAAGTCATTCACAATGGAGGGGTCTTGGGTGAGGCAGGCGCCCCAGCCGCCATCCGTGCCATGATCCAGGACGTACACCACCGTACTTGGTGCGTCTCAAAGCACACAACTGGCAGCACCCTCGCCACCACGTACGCTGGAAGCCGGCCTGGTGAATCTCTGGCGGACGCGATCTTCGCTTTCATTTATTCGAGAGTGATTGGTCGGGTCTTCGAAGTGGCACATGGGGAGGGCCTGCTCAGCGAGGTGGGGTACGATGAGCACAGTGGTGCTTTTGGAAAGCCTCGTAGTGGCACGGAGGTCGTCCTGAGGGACACTACTTGGGCCGATGACACCGCGATACCATTTGATGACAGTCGGTTTGCCAATCCCATGGCCTCCAGCCTAACTTACGACGCGGCAAGACCATGGCCATTGTGTCGGTCGTTGGCCAGGGCTCCTCAAAAGCTCGACATGAGTTCTTTGACCATGGCCGCCCAGTGCTGCAATTGCAAGATTTGCAACTGGAGGTGGGCATCGCCCCACAATATGTCCACCTGGGTGGTGTGGTGGACACAGGCTGCACCATGAAGCCAGAGATGAGACGCAGATTGGCCCAGGCCGGGGCAGCCTATGAGGCTGCGCAAGGACTGTTGTTCAACAACAAAAGACTCCCGGTGACTACACGGGCCCAACTGTTCCACACCACCATCCTCTCGACCTTCTACAACCTTGCGATCTGGACACCGGCAGGCCCGGCATGGGAACAGATGGCAAGTGGTTATACAAGGATCCTGAGGAGATTGCTGGGACCCAACGTGGGATGGCAACGAGTGTACCGAATACCGGGCCCATTTGTCCACCTGGCGACTGGACAGTGGCGTCTGGAACATGAAGCCGTCAAGAGCCGAATGAGCCTCCTGACGGCAATGACAGGAAACGGCCCGACGGCGCTCTGGGCCATCCTACAACAAGAACAGACATGGCTCCAGGTGATCCAGGACGACCTCCAGCAAGTCGCCACGGAGTACCCGGATCTACCAAGAGCGCGGGATGCAGAGTGGGCCAACTGGGTCGACTACCTGCAGAAGAGCCCAGGTCAATTTAAGGCCAGGGTAAAAAGGATGCTCCAGAAGCAACATGACCGGCAATGCCAGGACGAAACTCAGCAGGTCGGTCTGTGGGGTCTATATCGTCGTGCTGTTCGTGACCTACCGGGCTGGGAGTGCGAGTCAACATGGAGCTGCCGGATGTGTGAGAAGCCATTCAAATCCAAAGGTGGGCTTGGGGCCCACATGTTCAAAGCCCACAGGAGGATGGCAACATACAGGAGCTGTGTGGTCGGAACTGCATGCAAAGCCTGTGGGCGAGAGTTCTGGTCTACGGCACGGCTTGCAACCCACCTCAGAGATGCCCCTGCCTGTGTTAACGCACTGCGAGCTGCAGGGATGACCACGGAATCCGTGAAACCAGGGATGGGCAGTCGTGCTGCGCGCCAGGCCTACACGGAGGAGTACAACCTCGCCCCGACTGGGAGGATAAACGACACCCTTGTGGCCCCCGACGAGGTCAAATGGCCGGACACGCAAAGGGATGCGTACAGACAGATCTGCGAGGAGTTGCACCAGTACGCACACTGGAGCAAGGAGGAGGAGGTCAGGTGTGGCATCCTGCGGGTCCTCAAGCAATTCCCCCTGTACTTCCTGGAGGAGCAGGAGATCGTGATCCGCCTCGGGACGGACCTCGAGGAGCTCAAGAAGGCGGAGATCTGCGATCCCTGGAGTCCGGAAGTCTTTGCTATTGTCTACGCAGCAGTCATGGAGGCGGACGTGTGGCTACAGCCGTACTATGTTGGTGACGGCGAGTGCACCGACACGGCCAGCTACGAGAGCTCTCTCCGACGGTTCCTAGGTGGAGAGAAGCCAGACTGGGGCGAGGTGATCCAGGCGAGTCGTGAGAAGTGCGGGACCCTAGCATGCAAACTGTTTGAACTGGATGGATCCTGGGAAGCAGATGAAGGACCATCTAGTGGTGCGTGTGCTACATCTGCCGCGCTATACGACCCGCTGTGTTTTGTCCCCGGAGCTATAGTGACGTTATGGCAGCAGGTCTGCAATGGCCAGGTCAGTGCTGTCTCGGCGTCTGAAAAGTTCTGGAAGAGCCCCTACGGCCCCGTGTTCCGGGCCCTGCGGGCTGATGTGCAGAAATAATTAGTGCCGCGTAAACCACTGAATGCCTCGAAATGGAAAAATTACACATATGAATACTATATGAACGAAGGCGTGCCGACCTCGGGTTCGTTGGCCCAGGTGCGTTAGTCGAATATAGCATAGTAGAGCATAGCATAAAAAAAAAAAAAACTAAAACAGAATGCCATTACGAACTATTCGACCTCTAGAGGGACACGGATGCATTCGGATTCGGAAAAGCCAAGGCGCCGCTGTCACAGAGATCAGCACCGCTCCGATGGGAGACAGCAGGCGGTCAAGCACCTTGGGGTTAAGACTTTAGGAACTTTGGGGTTTAGGGTAGGTTTCAGGTTCGGCGGTGAATGGAAGTGTTATCTACATCCAGAACAACAAGATAGTCGTGCTTGACAATATGCCATATGCCATCAAGGGTTGTAACAAAGCTCAGACTGTGCCGTTTGATGCAGACGGTGTGGGTCGAGTGTCGAGAGCCACGGCCTCAAGACTGCTCGGTCGAAACTCGACGAGAAGTACTGTCAGTTGCCATTCGTTTTGCAATCCTCGTATCTAGTATCTTCATCTCAATGTTGCCAGACTCCTCCTTGTTGCTAGGTGGTTCCATTGCCGAATCTCTCTCTGTATGCTTGTCTTCATTTCTACCACTCGTCTTGTTGCTCGTCGACTGAGGGCCCTGGCTGTTCCTAGACCCGAAGCCATGATTCCAGCCGAGCGCGTCGATATCAGCTGAGCGTGTGAGATCAAACAACCCTAACGTGCGCTAAGATACAAAAGGCAACGCCCTTATATTCTTCGGATGACAGAACTTAAAACTCAACAGCACTGACTGACACAATCGTTGGCGACCTCGTTCAGCATGATGGCAGTGCTGCAAGATGCGTCGTCGTCACCTCTTCTTCGTCGCTTCCTGTTTTTGTAGGTGCACCCTGGAAACACCCAGTAAGCCCTGGAGGGCGAACAGGGACCAACCACCCTGAAGCCCAATGATTGGAGGTTCATGGGTGGTTATAACAAGTACTATTATAATTATTATTACTATTACTACTATTATTACTATAATGACTATAATTACTCTTATTACTATTATTATTGTTATTACTATTATTAGGGTAACAATACATGTAACCCATATTAGGGGAGTTATAACCCCACTTAGAACTACCCATGAACCTGCAAGTGCTGAGCATCACGCCAGTGGCAATGCCTCCATGGCCGCAGCATTGCACAAGAGCAGCGTCCTAAAGCTTTCAGGGTACAGCGTTTAGGTAAAGCTCGGGGCTTTAGGCTTAGGGTTTCAGGGTTTCGGCATTGCGATTAACGGTTTAGAGCTTCGGGTTTAGGTAGATGAAGATGATTAAGACTGCGAGTTTTGAAGTTCCAGGTGTGTTGTGCTTGGACCTCAGACTTGCTACTTGGAGGTTCATGGGTCATTTTAAGTGGGGCTAAAAGACCCCTAATATGCGTTATAAGTATAGTTACCCTACGCATAACCCTACCTATAACTACCCATAAACCTCCAAGCAGGCCCTAAGCCCTATACCCTTACAGAATCCCTATAGATCCCTTTAAAGGGACCCTTAAAGGACCCCTTACAAGGGTGCTTCCATTTCAGATGCTTCGGACCCGACTCCGTGGCTCAAAGCCTTGCGTCTGGACTCAGTTGCAGACTGCTGGAGGTTTAGGGTTTAGGGTTTAGGTTTAGGGTATCTAGTAGGTTACAATTAGGATAACCCCACTTACGGGACTTATAACCCCAATTATTGGTCTAAGGATTCCGCGGTTCAGGAAATATCTGTTGGGGCCATTGGGATTGTTCGTCATGATGCATGCAGACCAGAAGGGCCTGAGGCCTGGCTCTCATATATGGTGCGAACGAGGGCGTTCTTGTTCGGAAAAGATCGTTCAAGGATTTCTGGATCCGATCACTGCAGTCGGGCAGCCAAGAGAACTAAACTTTTATGCATATCGTCGTTATAAACACCATGCTTACTTCGGTTGTCATGATGGTCAGGCACATACTGCTCCGGATTGTGTTCTGCTTGTGTGAACTCTTCTACTATCTTCGGTTTCTCGCCACTCTTCGCAAGTATGCGTGACCCTGCTGCCTAAGCCACCTATTGAGCAGCCTTTGATATCACCAACCTTTACATGAAACCAAGTGTTCTTTCGGTCGATGCGTCTGTCAGAACATTAATATCCTGAAGGTGGTGCTTCTAGTCGTCGTGATGCTTATCACACTAGTGACAGAATGTTGACGACGATCATTACTACGTCTATGATGCTGATGGATGCAGGTTTCTGATCTCTTCGCTTACTGCATGCTCCTTCTCTTGCTACATCTTTGGTTCAGTCGGGTCTTGCTGAAGGCTTCAAAGCGTGAGAGAGGCTGTAGGGCCCCGGCACCAACAACAGGTGCTGCCGCTTGATGAGCCCCCGCACCTACAACTCTCAGAGACGAGCTATTTGCGGCTGTCTTTAGGGTTTAGGGTTTAGGGGATAGGGCGAGTGAAACTACGCAAGTTTTGGTTGATGGAGAAACGTGGCTCAAATCGGCCGAATTGCAACACGAAGGGCTGCAAGATCAACTTTAACGTTCGGGCACAGCATGTACGCATATGAGCTGCAAGACCGGGCAATAAAATCTGGGGTCTGCTGGCTCTTGAAGATCACTGCTTGGCACCACTGCATTCTCTTTGCTGACCTTTATGGCTATGTTCTGGTAATTTGAGCTTGTCACGCTCGTGGCTCACGCTGATATTCTTGATCCCTGCCTCGTGCGTACACCTCGGCCACTGTTGTCAGTTTGCCTGCTGCCCAAACCAACCCTGAAGTTCTGGACCCTGCGACGAGACAGAACTGAGTCTGATGGCACATGACAATGGCGACTAAGAGTACCCGCGGACGGCTATCAGAAAATAAATTGATGCCGAACCCTGAACCCCTGACCTCAGAATCCGAAAGCCTAAACTCTTCATTCCTACGGCCTCAGTCCACAAGATAAGCCGCAAAGCAGTGCTTCCTACCCTCGACCCCTACAGCCTATCTCTAGGGTTTACGGTTTGAAATGGATCTTTCAGGAACCCCGAGGGATATGTTTGAAAAGCACTCAGGTTTTTTTGTAAACCCATTTCATACCACGTTGTACTAACCCCTGGTAATAGCTCAAGGAAGGCCTCTTTTCAAAGAACCCCTTGACGGAACCCCTTGTCAGGAACCCTCACTTACTGGAACCCTTTTAAGGAACTCCTGTTTTTCGAGGATCAGCCAGGAGGCTGCGACCGCCCTCCGCTGTTCCGTGGCTGTGCCAGCTCGCTCCACGATGCTGAGCTCCAGCTCCTCCTGGGATTCAAACGTTTTTGTACGGTTTGAAGTTGTAGTCGAGGGTTTAAGGCTTAGTTGCTTTCGCACCTGACCCAGGCTTGGAACACGATGAATTCAACCGCGGAAACACAGAAGTCAGCAGCAGCAGTAGCAGCGGCAGGAGCGGCAGAGCTGCACAGGAGCAGGAACGTCAGCATGAAGATCGTCATCATCACAGCTACCGCTGTCATGATGATATTCGTCATCATGGTGACAGCGGTATTTCTTCCAACATTCATCACAATAATATGGGCACGGAATATTAGCATCCTGATCATGTCTTGACAGCCTCACCACCTCCACCATCAGCGTCATCATCACCGTAACCATCATCGTAACCACCACTCACAACATCATCGTCGCCATCATCACCAGCAGCGTCATCGTCATCATCATCACCATCGTCAAGATGAACAGCCATAAAACGTCCATCAATGGCAAAGGGGTTCCTGAAACATGCTCCAAGAACACTCAATGCAGAAATACACAGACCATAAGCCCTAGACCCCAAGCCTTCAGTCCCAAACAAGGCGGGTGACCTGAACCTTAAATTGCAACTGCGAAACCTAAACACTGGAGCTTAGCTTATCTTGTCTGGTCGGGCAAGCTTCAGCGGAGAGCAGGCCGAGCGTGAGCCCACTCCTGGTCTCCAATTTCTAAAGAAGACCTCTACTTGCTGCTATCGATACCACAGATATGAAGAAGCATTCGCCACTCGAAGAGCAGCCATGACAGTGCTGGTAGCAGCACCATCCGTAGCAGTAGACTTAGTAGTGGTAGCAGCAGTGGCGGTAGCTGCGGTAGTTCTGGTGGTATTCGTCGTCGTCGTTGAGGTCGTCGTAGCAGTAGCAGTAGCGGTAGCAGTAGTGGTAGCAGTAGCAGAAGCAGAAGCAGCAGCAGTAGCAGTAACAGTCGCAGTCGCAGTCGCGGCAGCAGCAGCAGCAGCAGGAGCAAGAGCAGGGGCAGGGGCAGGTGCAGGGGCAGGGGCAGCAGGAGCAGGAGCAGTAGCAGTGGCAGTGGGAGTAGGAGTAGGAGTAGTCGTAGTCGTCGTGTTTTGAAGGTGTAAACTCCTCAGGGCTAGTACAAAAGGCGAGACTGTGCGGTTCGGAAAGAACCAGCGGGGGGAGTCGGCTCGCAACGTCTACTTCAACGGCTCGAAAGGTCTGTTTTCAATACCTCGTCACGATCCCAGAATGAATGCTTTTAAGGGGCATGGGATCGAAACACTCAATCCAAGATCCACGACGACCAATCCTGTACGGACTACCACGATAGTCACGTATGCTGAACCCGATAAAACGATGCTCCTTCTGGATGCTCCACCATTAGCTTCAACCCCTTCCAGTTTCATAGGTGCGTTGTATTCTGCTGACGTGATTCATCCCGAATACAACTGAGTCGCCGAGTCTTACTGGCAACTGCATTTCCGGCCCGTCTGGTTTCGTGCTGAACCTTACAATAAGAAATCTGTGCTTCTGCCTCAATGCTACTCCGCAGATGGGACTGTATCAAGCTTCAACACTTGCGGTCGAAGCATCATCAAACCACCAAACAGCACAAGCGCCGTTGCAGCTGCAACCATGTACCTTGCCAGCTTCGGGCCGTCGCAGCGCGGATTAAGCCACACCAACACATCCGAGAGAACGAAAAGGTGCCTCGAAGAGAAAGAAGCAAACTTGGGATCTGCTAGATACTCTAGTTTCTGTCCCCGAAGCTCCCACGGTTAGTTGCATAGGATAGCACAACATGAATAACTTCACCTGCAAGTGCGTGCACATCTGGCTAGGCTTCACATAAAATCATGTCACAATGTCGATGTTAGTTACAATGCTGTGAAAGAAGCCAGGCAAGCAGGAAACACACCAACACCGGTATCAATAAAAAAACAACCTACATTCTGCCCATGGACCAGAACTCCGCACTGCCAAATTCCACATCCGGCATGGCGGTGACAAGTACAAGCTGCAAGCGACGATTGTTGGCGTTGCTGCCACCGTGGCACCAGAATTTTGCCTGTTATGTGTTGCGTCGTGCTTGCTACAGCCGCGGCTGCTACAACTCACGACGACAAGACTGTTCGCGCCGTGGCTGGATTGGAGGAGCACTTTAAGCCTTAAGCACCATGGGCCAGGAAAACGGAGGTTCAATGCCTCTTCGCAGCGTGGATCTCGACTGCTTCTTTACGGCTTTACGGTTCTTCACTCTACCAGCTGTTTTTCGAGCCAAAAAAGTCACCATATGTGCTGCACCCTACTCCGCGACGATGCATCTGCTCACTCTTCAACGAGAGATACTGCAGCTGCTCGAGAAGACAAGCGAAGACCGACCCAGACTCAAGAAACCTCCAGTAGATAGAGCTTACCGCTTACCTGTCTACTTTCAGGCCCCTGCAACCACAAAGGCTCACCTGTTTTCACCGCTCTCCGCGGCTCGCATGGTAGGACATCTGCACAGTCTTACGTCTTCAGGTTCTGGGCTATCGGAGCCCTTCACATCGTAGCACTGTACGATGCTGAAGACTCTCAAAACCATTTCAACCAAACACTCGCCAAAGTCATTGTGCACAGACGCAGCATTGCCGCGACCACATCGATTCCAGCGTCGAGCCAGACAAAGTGCACCCGACCCTCAACCCCGCACTTTTTCACCGCCCTAAACCCTAAACAGCTCTAAACCCCTAAGTCTTAAACTCCAAGCTCTGGCAGTCATGGAGCAGGAAGGCGGCGTAGACCTGGGAGCAATGTCTTCCGCTTCGAACCTCTTTTTGCAAGGGCGTTACAGACCGGAACCCACTGCATCCGCGGCACTTGACAAGCCCTACAACAACAGATTGATACTGATTAAAGCCTCATCCCCAGAAAAAATGTGAAGGTAACAGCATTCACCGTGTTTCACAACCAAGTGTTGAAAAAACCCGCACTCTCCCCGAAACCGTCGAAAAATGCCACTGCCTGCATGCACCACTTTCGACCGCAGCTCCGCAAGGGTGGAGGGCAGCCCCCTGCCGGCTCAGCTTATCTTCGGCTTGGGCTTCAACACGCTTTAACTCTCTTTAGCAGAACACGACAACATCCAGTCGAAGGATTTTGTTCCACACTCCCAATCCGAGCTTCATGGAGTCCAATTTAAATCAAACAAGACCCGTACACGGGCAGCATCACTTCGCGTGGCTTAAAGCCGACGCGGGCACCGCCACCTTGGAGCCACCGGTATCCGGTCCCTCATAGCGCATCTTGAACGCTTCCCCACCGCCCATCTCGCACATCTCCACCACCAGGTGGTGAGTGCCCGCCGCAAGGAACATGCTGTGACTGGACCTCTCGAGTTCACCGTGGCAGCCGTTGTTGTCGACGACCTTCTCGCCGTCCAGGTACAGAAGAGAGCCGTCGTCGGAAGCGGTGTAGAACTTGTAATCGCCCGAGTTCGAGGTTGTGAGAAAGCCGCTGCACCGGAGACAGAAGTTGTCGCTTTGGCGAACATGGGGAAATCTTCCATTGTGCATGTAGATATTCGGCAGAACCTCGCTGTGAGCAGGGGTCAGCAACGCAAGGCCCGGGACGTCGCACTGGGCCTGGCCGTAGTGGTAGTCGCACTCCAAGCCGTCCGCGAAGTCCTTGGCTTCATGTTTAAGGGCAGATCTTGGTATCGTGACCTTGGAATTGGCAGTATCCGGTCCCTCATATCTCATCTTCAGGTTCTCGCCGCCACCCATCTCACACATGTCCACCACCAGGTGGTGGGTACCCTCCGAAAGGAACTTGTGCTCGCTTGACCTCTCTTGTTCACCGTGGCAGCCGTTGTTGTCGACGACCTTCTGCCCGTTCAGGTACAGGAGGGAGCCGTCATCGGAAGCGGTGTAGAACTTGTAGTTGCCTGCATTTTGGGTGCTAAGATAGCCGCTGCACCTGATGCAAAAGTTGTTGCCTTGCTTGACATGGGGGAAGTTGCCATTGTGCATGTTGATATTCGGCAGAATGGCGGTGTGCTCAGCTGTCAAACCTCCGAGGTCGGGGACGTCGCACTGCGCCTGATTGTAGAAGTAGTCGCACTCCAAGCCCTCAGTCAAAGGTCGCTTCGCCTGGTGCTTGAGGGCGGACATCGGTATTGTGACCTTGGAGTTACCGGTATCTGGGCCCTCATAGCGCATCTTTAGGTTCTCGCCGCCACCCATCTCGCACATGTCCAACACAAGGTGATGCATACCTTGCGTTAGGTACTTGTGATGGCTTGACCTCTCGTGTTCGCCGTGGCAGCCGTTGTTGTCGACGACTTTCTCGCCGTTCAGGTACAGCAGAGAGCCGTCATCGGAGGCGGTGTAGAACTTGTAGTTGCCCGAGTTCTTGGTGCTCAAATAGCCGCTGCACCTGATGCAGAAGTTGTCGCCTTGTGTAATGTGCGGGAAACTGCCGCTGTGCATGTCGACGTGTGGCAGAACTGCGCTGTGCGATGGGATCAAACCTCCGAGGTCGGGGACGTCGCACTGAGCCTGACCGTAGAAGTAATCGCACTCAAGACCGTCCGATGCTCGCAACACTTCGTGCTTGAGAACCGACGCAGGCACCGCGACCTTGGAGCCACCGGTATCCGGTCCCTCATATCTCATCTTCAGGTTCTCGCCGCCACCCATCTCGCACATCTCCACCACCAGGTGGTGGGTACCCGCCGTGAGGAACATGCTTTCACTTGACCTCTCTTGTTCACCGTGGCAGCCGTTGTTGTCGACGACCTTCTCGCCGTTCAAGTACAGAAGGGAGCCGTCATCGGATGCAGTGTAGAACTTGTAGTCGCCCGCGCTCGAGGCGGTGAGAACGCCGCTGCACCGGAGACAGAAGTTGTTGCCTTGCCGAACATGGGGGAATCTTCCACTGTGCATGTAGATATTCGGCAGAATTGCACTGTGTGCGGGGGTCAACACTGAGAGTTCAGGGACGTCGCATTGAGCCTGGCCGTAGTAGTAGTCGCAATCCAAGCCGTCCGCATAGAAAGGCTTCACCTCGTGTTTGAGAGCGGATGTGGGTATCATCACCTTCGAGTTACCGGTATCTGGTCCCTCATATCGCATCTTTAGGTTCTCGCCGCCACCCATCTCACACATGTCCACCACCAGGTGGTGGATACCTGGGCCGAGGAACTTGTGCACGCTTGACTTCTCGTGTTCGCCGTGGCAGCCGTTGTTGTCGACGACCTTCTCACCGTTCAGGTACAGCAGAGAGCCGTCATCGGAGGCGGTGTAGAACTTGTAGTTGCCCGAGTTCTGGGTGCTCAAGTAGCCGCTGCACCTGATGCAGAAGTTGTTGCCCTGCTTGATGTGAGGGAAACTGCCGCTGTGCATGTAGATGTTCGGCAGAACTGCACTGTGCGAGGGGGTCAGACGTCCAAGGTCCGGGACGTCGCACTGAGCCTGATTGTAGAAGTAGTCGCACTCCAAGCCTTCTGCCAAGTGTATGTGTTTGCGTGTGAGAGCAGACGCGGGCACCGTGACCTTGGAGTTACCGGTATCTGGCCCCTCATAGCGCATCTTGAAGACTTCGCCACCACCCATCTCGCACATCTCTACCACGAGCTCGTGGGTACCCGCCGAAAGGAACGTGTCTCCGCTTGACTTCTCGAGTTCGCCGTGGCAGCCGTTGTTGTCGACGACCTTAGCACCGTTCAGGTACAGCATAGAGCCGTCGTCAGAGGCGGTGTAAAACTTGTAGTGGCCCGACTTCTTCGTGCTCAGATACCCCTTGCACTGGAGGCAGAAGTTGTTCCCTTGCCGAACATGGGGGAATTTGCCGCTGTGCATGTAGATATTCGGCAGGATTTCACGGTGAGCGGGTGTCAAGGACGCGAGGTCCGGCACATTGCACTGAGCCTGGTCGTAGAAGTAGTCGCACTCCAAGCCGTGCTCTTGTTCCGACGCAGCTGGGGCAACTGGGGCAAGTGTCGTAGTCGTTGTGGTGGTTGTGGTGGTTCTTGTAGAAGTTGAAGTTGTGGTGGAGGTAGTTGTGGTGGAGGTGCTTGTGGTTGTTGAAGTGGTGGTTGTTGACGTGGTGGTTGACGTCGTGGTGGTTGAGGTCGTGGTTGTGGTACTGGTGGTCGTGTAGCAAGCAATGCCCATGCTCAGGCACCTCCCATCCACCCAGGCACACTGCATGTGGCTGAGCCCATCCGTCACGAAGTAGCTTTCGCAATCCGCTTCCTGCAGATGTGAGCACGAGAAGCTGCCCTCCACGTGGCTCCCCTGGCACTCCACAAGGGGCTCCTCAGCCTGAACCGGGCGAGGCTTGCCGGAGGCGACCGGAGGTGTGTTGACGTCGAAAGACCAGCCTTCCTTCGAATCCTCTGCTTTGTTCGCCTGGGCCTTGCTCTTCGTCTCTTGGACATCCCCGCGCGAGAAGTCCTTCAATGCTGCAATGGCCCGGGCGCGACTCTCCAGGGACACGATTTCGTCCGGCATCGCCATCAAAATCAAGGCAAACTGGTCCGCGATGTTCACCAGGGGGATGACCTGCTCCGGGCTCTGATAGTGGGGCCCGAAGCCCATCTGCAACCCAAGCTGAAGCCAGTTGCCTGACAGCAGTCCCTTGACTTCGAAGTTCACGGTGCCGGAGTTCTTGAAGCTGAAGAGCTTAAACGTCTCCTGGCCCTCCTCACTTTGGCGGATCACCTCCTCCGCCGCCCTTCCCTGCGATTTGGAGGTGGTGTTCACACCCAGGTCCTGGCCGTACTCCACGGAGGCCAGGTACAGGTCGTCCTCCTCCGTCTTCCAGTACAGGGACTCCTGCACCTTCTCTTCTTCACTGCGGAGGCTGCGGTTGCTTTCCAGGAGAGACGATCGCTTGATGGAGGCCATGCCGGTTCCGCTCTCTCCATCTGTCCCAGACACGGCGAAGTAGCTCTTGGCGGTTTGGTGGCCTCCGTTGATGTTCGAAGCCGTGAAGTGCGTGTCCTCGCCGAAGCGCTTGGCGAGGCGCAGCGTCCTGCTGAAGAGGAGGATGCCGTTGGACTTGATCTCGGAGCGCAGGACGCTCAAGTCGAGGCCACCCGGCTGAGTTTTGGGCCAGCATACCTGAGTGTTCACTTGGGCCAACGGCCCCGGTAGCAAGTCGAACTGGATGCCGCCCACGAAAGCGACCACCGGCTGCATGTTCAACTGGAAGGTCACCGTGACACACTTCTCAATCTGCACGTCCGAGGTGTAGAAAGAATAGCCTTGCCACTTGTCCCAGTTGTCCTTCATCCACTTGTTGCCGCAGGGCACCGCCCAAGGCTCCAGCTTCACAAAGTCGTCCTCGCTATCAGCCTGCCAATCCTCCTTGGTCGCCTGGTTGTTGCTCCCCGTCTTGTTCCTGGGCGCAAAGGCCAGGCAGGAGCCCGTGGACGTCTCCCTGCCATCGAACTGCGTGACCAAGGTGCGGATTTCGGGACCGTAGTCGCTGAAGCTCCAACTCACCGCGGCAGGGGGCTTGTCGTCGCCCCGCTGCAAGAGGGCTGCATTTCTCGGGGCCCGCTGCGAGTGCTTGCTGATGATGAAGTTGGGCGTTTGATGGTGCACCACGGCCGGCGCACCAGCTTTTGGGAAGTCACTTGTGGCGGCTGCCTGCAGCAGCGACTGCCCGCCCTTCATGGTTTGGGTGGCCACGGCCGCGGCCACCTTCGCAAACGTCCCGACGAACTCGGCGAAGATGTCCCCGAGGCGGTTCAAGAAGTTCAGGGGAGGATTGCTTGCGATGATCTTGAAGCCAAGGCACTTGACTAGGTCGCTTTGCTGGGAGTCGGAACAATCCATGAGCGCATTGCCCAACGTAAGCATATTTTGGATGGAATTCGGCTGGCCACCTCCGAGAAGCTGCATTGGCCCAGGCATGAGCCCCATGATGTTGCCATCGGCAATCTTGTTCAACTGTCCCGGTAAGAGACCCATGATATTGCCATCGGCAATCTTATTCAACTGTCCCGGTAAGAGACCCATGATGTTGCCATCGGCAATCTTGTTCAACTGTCCCGGTAAGAGACCCATGATGTCACCACTGGCAACTTTCTTCAAGGGGTCCGGCAGGAAGTCCAATGGGGGACTGAACTTCGCAAGCGATCGGGCAAGGCACTTTGTCACCTCAACGTGGTTGTGATTTCCTTTGCAGCTGTGCCACAACTCCCAGCCAAGGTGGAAAAGAATTCTCAGCTGATCGGGCAAAAGGTCAAAGACTTTGCCATTCGCAACCTTCTGCACCGGGTCGGGCAGGAAGTCCAACAGTTTCCCTACCTTCGTAAGCGAGCTGGCAAGGCACTTCGTGACCGCTTCGTGGTTGTGGCTTCCCTTGCAGCTGTGCCACAATTCCCAGCCCAGGTGGAAAAGAATCTTCAGTTGATCAGGCAAAATGTCAAGGACTTTGCCATTAGCAACCTTCCGAACCGGGTCGGGAAGGAAGTCCAACAGTTTCCCTACCTTCGTAAGCGAGCTGGCAAGGCACTTCGTGACCACTTCGTGGTTGTGGCTTCCCTTGCAGCTGCTGGTCAATTCCCAGCCCAGGTGGAAGAGAATCTTGAGCTGGCTAGGCAGAAGGTCTAAGATTTTGTTATCGACAACTTTCTTCAGCTGATCAGGCAGAAGATCCATGACTTGGCCATTGGCAACTTTCTTCAACCGGTCGGGCAAGAAGTCCACTGGTGGGCTGAACTTTGCAAGTGACCTGGCAAGGCACTTGGTGACCTCTTTGTGGTTGTGTGTGTGGCAGGTGTTCTTCAGCTCCCATCCGATGTGGTAAAGTATCTTCATCTGCGATGGCAGCAGATCCTGGACCTTGCCATCGACAACTTTCTTCAACTTGTCGGGCAGCAGATCCTGGACTTTGCCATCGACAACTTTTTTCACCTTATCGGGAAAGAGATCCCCTGGATACTTCCTGAGTGATCTGGCAAGGCACTTGGTCACCTCGATGTGATTGTGAGTGCCGTGGCAGCTACTTGTTAGCTCCCAGCCCACGTGGAAAAGAATTTTAAACTGGCTCGGCAAACCAATCCTGTGCTCGCCGAAGTTGAGTCCGAACAAGGGGGTCGACTGCCCCATCAGGCTGATCTTGCAGCGGAGATCCCCGAAGTAGATTTTGAGTTCATGAGAGTTGAACGTTCTTATCGAAGGCGCAGCACTGTTGGGGCAGCTGGCGCCGAAGTCCGAGAAGCCCTGGCTCAGAATCGCGACGGCCTGTTCCACGGTCGAGATTGCGTTGTTCCTCAACCATTCAGCCTCACGGCGCTACATCAATGAAACATCCAGGCAACAGCACACTGTGAAAAAGCTGTGCAGACAGATCAAGCACCCTGCCTTGTTTGTAGCAGCGTTGTATCCATCCTTCAAGGTGTCGATGGGGTTCTTCGTCGCCACATCTTTCGCATCATTCCCCGTGTTAACGACATCTGAAGGAAATCTCCTTCTTCGGTGTTTGAAAATATTCTCATCCTTGACCGTCGGTAAACAAGGGGAAGAGACAGAGCACAACAGTCATAACAATAGCACCCTGCGGAAACAAGGGAAGGGAAATAACATAAAACTGTTAGCAAGAAGCCTAACAACTAGAACGGCTGGCAGCAAAAAACAATTGCAGCGAATGGGACCAGTCACAGATTCGCGATCCGACGACGACTCCTTCGACTCCCCACTTTCGGCGATCTCCTCGTGGCTAAGGATGCCTGAGTTGTCCCTATCAAGCCAGCACTTGAGCTCTTAGAGAACCCAAGGTTTCCAGTTTCCAGCCAAGTCACCTTTCTCTCGCTGACGATTGTGCTTGAGAAAGACTCTCTTGACAATGTCCTGCGCTTGCTGCAGCTGCATCTGTGCATCTTCTTCCTCCACCTCGAGCAAAGCCTCGGCTTGTGGCTCGTGGTTGCCAATCTGGGCCTTGAGGGATTCGATCTCCTTTTGCTGTAAGTCGATCCTCTTCCGCAGCCTCTCATCCGCGGCCTGCTGCATCTCAGCGACCGCCTCGAGCTGTGCGACCTTCACGAGAAGAAACTCCAAGTTCTTGGCGAGCTGGCCGAATCCCTCGCTGGGATCACTCGCGTTCTCCGTCATGGGGTTTGACATGTTGTTGATCTCCTCCATGTCCTGTCGCAAGTCGTCAGAAACGACCTCCTCCACAATCTCTTGGACGCTGTGATTCTCGGAGTCGGTCACCGGGATCGGAGACCCCGACAGCTTGAAGGACCGCGATGTGGACCAACAAAGAACATAAGCCAAGACCGTAAGGGCTCTGAATGAGCCAAGGGCTCTCGATGAGCCAAGCTTCATTGACGTGAGCATCTCAACGGAAAGCTGACCGAGATCTCTGGAAATGGTTCAGCTCCACCGCCAGGATGCTAGCTACACAGAATCGGAAGCTGCATGAGCTTCACTAAGGGAAAGAAAAGCTCGATGCAAGATGGCCGCATGAGTACAATGTAACCCGATGGCAGTTTATCAGACCATGTCGGGCAGCCGCTGAAGCGCAAGCAACTTGACTACGATATCCAGCGCCCTTCCTGTCTGGTCTACGCCAGCTAAGATGGAACTCGCATTGTCATCATTCATCTTCTTCAACCCTACTGACACGAACAAGCCAGCATGAACCATAAATACTGACGGTCCCCACACCTTAAACATTGTACCCTAAATCCTATTCCTCAACCCTCGACCCTCAACCTGGCACCGAAACCCCCATGAGCCCGAAGCTCCAAACCAGAAACACCTTGCAAAGCCTGGATTCCCTACCATAAGGGCCTCAATAAATAGAATAGGGTTTTGGTGTATATGATACGATGATCATACAAAGAACCCGCATAATAACATTCGAAACTATTTCGGCCCGAATATACTACATAGCTTGCATAAACATATACTATAGTATAATACAGTATAGATACCGTAAACTGTAATAGGAGCCTTAATATGATTTAAAGTATGTTCAATGCTCCTCGATACAGGGATTTGAATCTAGGGAACCCTAGGACACTGGCATGCGCTCACAGGCACTCCAAGGCCCAGGCACTCGACACGACACCAAATCCCACGCCTGCGGCGAGGACGCTAGGAGCTTCCAAAATGCATCTAAAAACCTACTCCATGTTTCAAAGACTTGCACAATGTGGCCACTCAGTTCTGCAGAGTCAAGGTTTGCTGCGTATTGGAAACAGCAATGTTTCTTAGCTCATTTCCAGACTCCATTCGCTAACTTCTCCTTCTGGAAGCTCCCATGAAGCACAGTGTGCCCTCTGTAGATATCGTACCAAGCGGGCCCGAAACATTTGTCGTTGGAGGAAGCTTCGCCGGTTTCCGAAAATAGCTCATGTCCGAGAGCGTTGCATAGTTGCCGAAGCCCAAAAGCAGTTAGGACGTTACAGACCTGAACCCACTGCATCCACGGCACTTGACAAACCCTACACCAATAGAGACATTCATCCCAAGAGAAATGTGAAGGTAACAGCATTCACCGTGTTTCACGCCAAAGCCTTGACTTGGAAAAACCCGCAAACTTCGCGAAGCCGTGGACAATGCCACCGCCGAATGCCCACATGCATGCATTAGTGTTGAGCCCCTAACCCCCAAACTGCCCAAACTGTCCTGACGTCGATGTTTGCCCAAGTGGCCTTGGCATGGGCTGACACCGTCGCAGCCGCAAGGGTGGAAGGCAGCCCCTGCCGGCTCAGCTTATCTTCGGGTTGGGCTTCAACGTGCCTTAAGTCTCTTTAGCAGAGCACCACAACATCCAGTTCGGGGCTCGACTCCTTCATTTTGTTCCACACTCCCAATCCAAGTTTCGCGGGGTCTCAGAACTAAGCCGTACACGGGCAGCATCACTTCGCGTGGCTTAAAGCCGACGCGGGCACCGCCACCTTGGAGCCACCGGTATCCGGTCCCTCATAGCGCATCTTGAACGCTTCCCCACCGCCCATCTCGCACATCTCCACCACCAGGTGGTGAGTGCCCGCCGCAAGGAACATGCTGTGACTGGACCTCTCGAGTTCACCGTGGCAGCCGTTGTTGTCGACGACCTTCTCGCCGTCCAGGTACAGAAGAGAGCCGTCGTCGGAAGCGGTGTAGAACTTGTAATCGCCCGAGTTCGAGGTTGTGAGAAAGCCGCTGCACCGGAGACAGAAGTTGTCGCTTTGGCGAACATGGGGAAATCTTCCATTGTGCATGTAGATATTCGGCAGAACCTCGCTGTGAGCAGGGGTCAGCAACGCAAGGCCCGGGACGTCGCACTGAGCCTGGCCGTAGTGGTAGTCACACTCCAAGCCGTCCGCAAAGGCCTTGGCTTCATGTTTAAGGGCAGATCTTGGTATCGTGACCTTGGAATTGGCAGTATCCGGTCCCTCATATCTCATCTTCAGGTTCTCGCCACCACCCATCTCACACATGTCCACCACCAGGTGGTGGGTACCCTCCGAAAGGAACTTGTGCTCGCTTGACTTCTCTTGTTCGCCATGGCAACCGTTGTTGTCGACGACCTTCTGCCCGTTCAGGTACAGGAGGGAGCCGTCATCGGAAGCGGTGTAGAACTTGTAGTTGCCTGCATTTTTGGTGCTAAGATAGCCGCTGCACCTGATGCAAAAGTTGTTGCCTTGCTTGACATGGGGGAAGTTGCCATTGTGCATGTTGATACTCGGCAGAATGGCGGTGTGCTCAGCTGTCAAACCTCCGAGGTCGGGTACGTCGCACTGCGCCTGATTGTAGAAGTAGTCGCACTCCAAGCCCTCCGTCAAAGGTCGCTTCGCCTGGTGCTTGAGGGCGGACATCGGTATTGTGACCTTGGAGTTACCGGTATCTGGTCCCTCATAGCGCATCTTCAAGTTCTCACCACCACCCATCTCGCACATGTCCAACACCAGATGATGCATACCTTGCGTTAGGTACTTGTGGTGGCTTGACCTCTCGTGTTCGCCGTGGCAGCCGTTGTTGTCGACGACTTTCTCGCCGTTCAGGTACAGCAGAGAGCCGTCATCGGAGGCGGTGTAGAACTTGTAGTTGCCCGAGTTCTTGGTGCTCAAATAGCCGCTGCACCTGATGCAGAAGTTGCCGCCTTGTGTAATGTAAGGGAAATTGCCGCTGTGCATGTCGATGTGTGGCAGAACTGCGCTGTGCGATGGGATCAAACCTCCGAGGTCGGGGACGTCGCACTGAGCCTGACCGTAGAAGTAATCGCACTCAAGACCGTCCGATGCTCGCAACACTTCGTGCTTGAGAACCGACGCAGGCACCGCGACCTTGGAGCCACCGGTATCCGGTCCCTCATATCTCATCTTCAGGTTCTCGCCGCCACCCATCTCGCACATCTCCACCACCAGGTGGTGGGTACCCGCCGTGAGGAACATGCTTTCACTTGACCTCTCTTGTTCACCGTGGCAGCCGTTGTTGTCGACGACCTTCTCGCCGTTCAAGTACAGAAGGGAGCCGTCATCGGAGGCAGTGTAGAACTTGTAGTCGCCCGCGCTCGAGGCGGTGAGAACGCCGCTGCACCGGAGACAGAAGTTGTTGCCTTGCCGGACGTGGGGGAATCTTCCACTGTGCATGTAGATATTCGGCAGAATTGCACTGTGCGCGGGGGTCAACACTGAGAGTTCAGGGACGTCGCATTGAGCCTGGCCGTAGTAGTAGTCGCAATCCAAGCCGTCCGCATAGAAAGGCTTCACCTCGTGTTTGAGAGCGGATGTGGGTATCATCACCTTCGAGTTACCGGTATCTGGTCCCTCATATCGCATCTTTAGGTTCTCGCCGCCACCCATCTCGCACATGTCCACCACCAGGTGGTGGATACCTGGGCCGAGGAACTTGTGCACACTTGACTTCTCGTGTTCGCCGTGGCAGCCGTTGTTGTCGACGACCTTCTCACCGTTCAGGTACAGCAGAGAGCCGTCATCGGAGGCGGTGTAGAACTTGTAGTTGCCCGAGTTCTGGGTGCTCAAATAGCCGCTGCACCTGATGCAGAAGTTGTTGCCCTGCTTGATGTGAGGGAAACTGCCGCTGTGCATGTAGATGTTCGGCAGAACTGCACTGTGCGAGGGGGTCAGACGTCCAAGGTCCGGGACGTCGCACTGAGCCTGGTCATAGAAGTAGTCGCACTCCAAGCCTTCTGCCAAGTGTATGTGTTTGCGTGTGAGAGCAGACGCGGGCACCGTGACCTTGGAGTTACCGGTATCTGGCCCCTCATAGCGCATCTTGAAGACTTCGCCACCACCCATCTCGCACATCTCTACCACGAGCTCGTGGGTACCCGCCGAAAGGAACGTGTCTCCGCTTGACTTCTCGAGTTCGCCGTGGCAGCCGTTGTTGTCGACTACCTTAGCCCCGTTCAGGTACAGCATAGAGCCGTCGTCAGAGGCGGTGTAAAACTTGTAGTGGCCCGACTTCTTCGTACTCAGATACCCCTTGCACTGGAGGCAGAAGTTGTTCCCTTGCCGAACATTGGGGAATTTGCCGCTGTGCATGTAGATATTCGGCAGGATTTCACGGTGGGCGGGTGTCAAGGACGCGAGGTCCGGCAAATTGCACTGAGCCTGGTCGTAGAAGTAGTCGCACTCCAAGCCGTGCTCTTGTTCCGACGCCGCTGGGGCAACTGGGGCAAGTGTCGTAGTCGTTGTGGTGGTTGTCGTGGTTCTTGTAGAAGTTGAAGTTGTGGTGGAGGTAGTTGTGGTGGAGGTGATTGTGGTTGTTGAAGTGGTGGTTGTTGACGTGGTGGTTGACGTCGTGGTGGTTGAGGTCGTGGTTGTGGTACTGGTGGTCGTGTAGCAAGCAATGCCCATGCTCAGGCACCTCCCATCCACCCAGGCACACTGCATGTGGCTGAGCCCATCCGTCACGAAGTAGCTTTCGCAATCCGCTTCCTGCAGATGTGAGCACGAGAAGCTGCCCTCCACGTGGCTCCCCTGGCACTCCACAAGGGGCTCCTCAGCCTGAACCGGGCGAGGCTTGCCGGAGGCGACCGGAGGTGTGTTGACGTCGAAGGACCAGCCTTCCTTCGAATCCTCCGCTTTGTTCGCCTGGGCCTTGCTCTTCGTCTCTTGGACATCCCCGCGCGAGAAGTCCTTCAATGCTGCAATAGCCCGGGCGCGACTCTCCAGGGACACGAGCTCGTCGGGCATCGCCATCAAAATCAAGGCAAACTGGTCCGCGATGTTCACCAGAGGGATGACCTTTTCCGGGCTCTGATAGTGGGGCCCGAAGCCCATCTGCAACCCAAGCTGAAGCCAGTTGCCCGACAGCAGGCCCTTGACTTCGAAGTTCACGGTGCCGGGGTTCTTGAAGCTGAAGAGCTTAAACGTCTCCTGGGCCTCCTCACTTTGGCGGATCACCTCCTCCGCCGCCCTTCCTTGCGACTTGGAGGTGGTGTTCACGCCCAGGTCCTGGCCGTACTCCACGGAGGCCAGGTACAGGTCGTCCTCCTCCGTCTTCCAGTACAGGGACTCCTGCACCTTCTCTTCTTCACTGCGGAGGCTGCGGTTGCTTTCCAGGAGAGCGGATCGCTTGATGGAGGCCATGCCGGTTCCGCTCTCTCCATCTGTCGCAGACACGGCGAAGTAGCTCTTGGCGGTTTGGTGGCCTCCGTTGATGTTCGAAGCCGTGAAGTGCGTGTTCTCGCCGAAGCGCTTGGCGAGGCGCAGCGTCCGGCTGAAGAGGAGGATGCCGTTGGACTTGATCTCGGAGCGCAGGACGCTCAAGTCGAGGCCACCCGGCTGAGTTTTGGGCCAGCAGACTTGGGTGTTCACTTGGGCCAACGGCCCCGGAAGCAAGTCGAACTGGATGCCGCCCACGAAAGCGACCACCGGCTGCATGTTCAACTGGAAGGTCACCGTGACGCACTTCTCGATCTGCACGTCCGAGGTGTAGAAAGAATAGCCTTGCCACTTGTCCCAGTTGTCCTTCATCCACTTGTTGCCGCAGGGCACCGCCCAAGGCTCCAGACTCACAAAGTCGTCCTCGCTACCAGCCTGCCAATCCTCCTTGGTCGCCTGGTTGTTGCTCCCCGTCTTGTTCCTGGGCGCAAAGGCCAGGCAGGAGCCCGTCGACGTCTCCCTGCCGTCGAACTGCGTGACCAAGGTGCGGATTTCGGGACCGTAGTCGCTGAAGCTCCAACTGACCGCGGCCGGGGGCTTGGGCTTGTCCTCGTCCCGCTGCAAGAGAGCCGCGTTGCTCGGGGCCCGCTGCGAGTGCTTGCTGATGATGAAGTTGGGCGTTTGATGGTGCACCACGGCCGGCGCACCAGCTTTTGGGAAGTCACTTGTGGCGGCTGCCTGCAGCAGCGACTGCCCGCCCTTCATGGTTTGGGTGGCCACGGCCGCGGCCACCTTCGCAAACGTCCCGACGAACTCGGCGAAGATGTCCCCCAGGCGGTTCAAGAAGTTCAGGGGAGGAACATTCGAGATGATCTTGAAGCCCAGGCACTTCACCACGTCACTCTGCTGTGAGCCAGTGCAATCCATAAGGCCGCCTCCGAGAAGTTGCATTGGCCCTGGCATGAGCCCCATGATGTTGCCGTCAGCAATCTGGTTCAACTGCCCCGGCAAGAGACCCATGATGTTGCCATCGGCAATCTTATTCAGCTGTCCCGGTAAGAGACCCATGATGTTGCCATCGGCAACCTTGTTCAACTGTCCCGGCAAAAGACCCATGATGTCACCACTGGCAATCTTGTTCAACTGTCCCGGTAAGAGACCCATGATGTCACCACTCGCAACTTTCTTCAAAGGGTCCGGCAGGAAGTCCAACGGGGGACTGAACTTCGCAAGCGATCGGGCAAGGCACTTTGTCACCTCAACGTGGTTGTGATTTCCTTTGCAGCTGTGCCACAATTCCCAGCCAAGGTGGAAAAGAATTCTCAACTGATCGGGCAAAAGGTCAAAGACTTTGCCATTCGCAACCTTTTGCACCGGGTCGGGCAGGAAGTCCAACAGTTTCCCTACCTTCGTAAGCGAGCTGGCAAGGCACTTCGTGACCGCTTCGTGGTTGTGGCTTCCCTTGCAGCTGTGCCACAATTCCCAGCCCAGGTGGAAAAGAATCTTCAGTTGATCAGGCAAAATGTCGAGGACTTTGCCATTAGCAACCTTCCGAACCGGGTCGGGCAGGAAGTCCAACAGTTTCCCCACCTTCGTAAGCGAGCTGGCAAGGCACTTCGTGACCACTTCGTGGTTGTGGCTTCCCTTGCAGCTGCTGGTCAATTCCCAGCCAAGGTGGAAGAGAATCTTCAGATGGCTAGGCAAAAGGTCTACGACTTTGTTATCGGCAACTTTCTTCAGTTGATCAGGCAGAAGACCCATGATGTCACCGCTGGCAACTTTCTTCAACTGGTCAGGGAGCAGATCCTGGACTCTGCCATCGACAACTTTCTTCAACTTGTCGGGCAGCAGATCCTGGACGTTGCCATCGACAACTTTCTTCAACTTGTCGGGCCACGTGATGTGCTGCACGATCTTGTTGCTCAGGCAGCTGAAAACGTTGCCACTGCCACAGCTGCTCAGTCCGTTGCCGATGTCGATGGCTGTTTGAATTGGAGCCGGCCACCGCATTTCAAGGGACCCAAAGTTGAAATCGAAAAGCGTAATCTGTTGCCCCATCAGGCGGATCCAACACTTCTGCCGACCCCAGTTAAGCGCCATCAGGACACTCCTTTGTCTGCACTCCACTACGGGGACTCTGATTGTCGTGGTAGTAAACCCCAATCTCATCTGTCTCTCTTGGTAGCCCGTAATCGAACATTCGTCGACGTAATCCCGAATGCTGGGTCCGCTGATCTCGCAGCCGGCGTTCCAATCGGTGAAGCCTTTCAAAAGGATCTCCATGGCCATCTCCACGGTGTCAATCACCGTATTGGCAACGAAGGCCACCTTTGCAGCGCCAAACCCAACCCGACCAGGCCCTAGGGCCCTAGGCCCTAGTGTCGCCCCTAGCGGTTTAGGGTTACTGTAAGGGTTTAGGGTTTAGGGTTTTGCCTCCAACTCCTGAACCAAATCCTGAAGCGGAAGCCGCCTTGTCAACAGCTGCTTCGTAGGCATTGGCTGTGCTCTCTGCGACGCTTTGGACATCCTCGTGCTCGGGCTCTGTTTAGGGTTTTTGGATTCAGGGTTCTAGGCATTTGGGGTTTAGCCGTCGAGAGAATCGCTCGAAACAACCCATCTGAAGGATCCATGGCCCGTCAAGTAAGTTCTCCTTCTCCTTCTGTGCTTGCTTTTAAAGGATTACGCATTCCGAGTCCAGCGAGGACATCGTGGAATGCGTTCCGAAGCCAGGGAGTGGCTGACCCTCTACGCGTTCAGGACCACCAGCCCAGCTTGACAGTATTCTTTACCCTAGGCTGTAGGCTCTTTCTTACGAGAGAAAGCGACGAGACTGCATAGCGTCCCGAAAGTGTTTGCTCACCACAAGACACTAAGAAACCCTGTCCTTGCCTCCACGCGGTCCTCGACCCAGTTACCGACTGCACCCCACCTCTGCGAGCCTTTGCTTCCAGACTGGGCTCCTCCTGCCAGGAGCTCGGTTCGGTCACTCGCCCCGGCTTCGGCGGCACGTTTCGGGGCATCTGGCTTGGCGTCGGCCGGGCGGTAGTTTTGGCGAGAAGCCTTGGGATGGAAAACCTTGTGATGGTGCTGCTGAGCGTGCTTGGCGAGCACCCTCTTCAGGGTTTGCTGGGTCTCTTGCATTCTGGTTTTCTCGTCCTTCTGCACCAAAGACGCCACGCTGTCCGGGTGATCCACATGTTCGGCAAGACCTTTCACCGTCTTCCTCAAATTCTCGATCTCGGCCTGTTGCAACTCGCACAGCGTCTCAAGCTGGGCCAGCTTCGCCATCATGAACTCGAAGCTCTTCCCGAGCTCACCAACACCTTGGCAAGAGTTGGGGCTGGAATGACAAGGGCTTATGTACTGTAAAAAAGGTTTTGTCCGTTGATCGGCCCAGAAACCCTCGGAGGCATTCTGCATGCTTCCGTTCAGCGTGAAGTTCGCAGGATTCGGGATGGCATTCATGTCCTTGAACTCTCCCTCCATGTTCTTCGCCGCGATCCCCTCCACTTGCTTCTTGAGGGTCTCGTTATCGGTTTTGACGATCTGTATCGGTGCTTCGGAAACCTGCCGATCAAGACGCGGGGTTCCGAAGCTAATCAGGGCAACTCAATCTGGGACATCTGGGGGAACAAGCGTGCATGCCGACAAAGTTTATGCAAGACACGCTGCAGAGATGCCCAGCACCCGAGACGAACAGCTCCCTTCCGAAGCAACCGCCAAGAAAACATATTCGATCCGTGCACATGCCTTGAAGGCAACGGCGGTGGCCAAGCTGCACACCGCGAGCCACCAGCGGCATGTCAACGAGACCATGAAATTGCGCCGTTCGTCAACACAGCTCTAAGAGTGCTCTAAGAGCAGATTTGCTTCGTTTTAAGACTGAGAAAAAAAGCTGCGGAAGCAGGGCACTGACAGGTCGTCGAAATTACCACCGCCAACACGAAAGCAAAAGCATGTGCCCCGAACTCCATCTCGTCGATCAACACAAGGTGCCGAAGCTCATTTGCGGAACACGAAACCTGCATGCTAACACTCTCAGGGACGAGCTTCTTGCTGTTTCTAGCTACAAACTTCTGATAAACATGTGCAGCGAATTGCGTGACATCCACCTTCGGTGACATTCGTCGAGGGCCCTTCGCTATCACGGTAGGGCCAGATCAGCACAGAAATCGAAATGAGAAACAGCGCATGATGAACCCGAAAGATGCGGCCAGCCTGATTCGCAACGATTGCAGAACGCAAGCAAGAGCCTCCAGTCCAACCAAAACAAACAAGCAAAGGGGCACTTCGCAGTTGTGTGTCGTAGAAGACCCGTACTGTTGCCCGCAACGCTACTTCCGATCCTGCACCAAACGATGTACAGCGTGCCAGAGGCGTAAGGCGCAGTAGGAGGCATCGCGCTCACCACTTTGCCTATGTCGCTGTGCAGCTTGCGTTTCCCTCACACGGCTGAACAGTGCCTCCGCGAGACAGAATCTTCGCCTCCAGGTCAATACGATGTTGCTTGCACAAACCCAAAACGAAGCTTAGGCCTCACTGCCAACGAAGCGCCAACATGCAGGTCGTGTACATTTTGGGCTTGACGCGCATGTCACCACAGAGCGGCGCTAAGGATCGCACAGCTGCAACAAGAACGAGCCCTCTTCGTACTGGCCCAGTCATAACCCCACACCGATCGGTTCAATACCAAGCTCCAAGACTTTCTGAAAGAAGCTCAGCACGAGCCTCGTCAAGAAGGAAACCGCTGGTACCTGGTGACAAGCAGCGAGTAGGGCTCGGGTTCTGGAGGTTTTAGTTGTAGGGTGCTGGGAAACCCTTGGTGTCGAATGCAGCATGGTCCTGCGCTAGTAGCAGGCCTGGACGAGCAAACTACATTTTTTGTTGACCAAACACCAAGCTGTCGTGAAAGGGTTCAGCTCCACGGCCACGATGCACCACCAAAAGAACCTTGAGCCCCCAAATCCCCAAAATGGCTCCAACTGTCCTGACCGTCGATCTGTGCCTCGGGCTGACGCCGGCGGCAGAGGGCAGCTCCTGGCGGCTCAGGTTATGCTCGGGTTCGTTCAGCCGGGCACTACCCCATCCAGTTCGGGACCAGGTTCCTTTTTGTTCCACTCGCCCAGAACTGAGCTCAAGAACTCTGCTGCTACGCTTGCTGCATCACTTCGCGTGCTTGAGAACGGAGGCGGGCACCGTGACCTTGGAATTGCCGGTATCCGGTCCCTCGTATCGCATCTTGAAGGCCTGGCCGCCACTCTTCTCGCACATCTCCACCACTACGTGGTGGCTGCCCTTTGCAAGGAACATGCTTTCACTGGACTTCTCGCGCTCACCGTGGCAGCCACTATTGTCGACCACCTTCTCGCCGTCCAGGTACAGCAGAGAGCCGTCATCGGAGGCGGTGTAGAACTTGTAGTCGCCCGAGCTATAGGTTGTGACAAAGCCGCTGCAGCGCATGCAGAAGTTCCAGCTTTGGCGAACATTTGGGAAATTGCCATCCATGTTGATATTCGGCAGGATAGCAGTGTGTGCTGGGGTCAGGACCGCGAGGTCCGGGACATCGCACTGTGCCTTGCCGTAGAAGTAGTCGCACTCCAGGCCGTCTGCAAAGTCTTTGGCCTCATGTTTGAGAGCATATCTCGGCATCACAACCTTGGAATTACCGGTGTCTGGTCCCTCGTATCGCATCTTGAAAGCCTGGCCCCCGCTCTTCTCGCACATCTCCACCACCAGGCGGTGAGTACCCTCTGCAAGGGAGATGCTTTCACTGGACCTCTCGCGTTCACCATGACAGCCGTTGTTGTCGACGACCTTCTGACCATCAAGGTACAGGAGAGAGCCGTCGTCGGAGGCGGTGTAGAACTTGTAGTTGCCCGACTTCTTCGTGTTCACATAGCCACTGCACCGCATGCAGAAGTTCCAGGTTTGGCGAACATTTGGGAAATTGCTGCCGTCCATGTTGATATTCGGCAGAATTGCAGTGTGTGCAGCGGTCATGCCTTTGAGGTCCGGGACGTCGCACTGCGCCTGATTGTAGAAGTAGTCGCACTCCAAGCCCTCCGTCAGAGGTCGCTTGGCCTGGTGCTTGAGGGCGGACATTGGTATTATCACCTTCGAATTACCCGTATCTGGTCCCTCATACCGCATCTTGAAGGCCTGGCCGCCACTCTTCTCGCACATGTCAACGACTACATGATGGAGACCTTGTGTCAGGTACCTGCGATGGCTGGACCTCTCGCGTTCACCGTGGCAGCCATTGTTGTCGACGACCTTCTCGCCGTTCAGGTACAGAAGAGAGCCGTCGTCGGACGCGGTGTAGAACTTGTAGTTTCCCGATTTCTTAGTGCTCACATAGCCGCTGCACCGCATGCAGAAGTTCCAGGTCTGGGTGACGTGGGGGAAATTGTTGCCATCCATGTTGATGTTCGGCAGAATTGCAGTGTGCGCGGCGGTCAAACCTCCCAGGTCGGGAACGTCGCACTGTGCCTTGCCGTAGAAGTAGTCGCACTCGAGGCCGTCTGATGCTCGCACGACCTCGTGTTTGAGCACAGACGCCGGCACCGTGACTTTGGAGCCACCGGTATCCGGTCCCCTGTATCGCATCTTGAAGGCCTGCCCGCCACTCTTCTCGCACATCTCCACAACTAGGCGGTGGCTGCCCTTTGCAAGGTACACGCTTTCACTGGACCTCTCGCGTTCACCGTGACAGCCATTGTTGTCGACGATCTTCTCCCCGTCCAGGTACAGGAGAGATCCGTCGTCGGAGGCGGTGTAGAACTTGTACTCACCAGAGCTCGAGGTTGTGACAAAGCCGCTGCACCGCATACAGAAGTTCCAGGTCTGGCGGACGTGGGGGAAATTGCTGCCGTCCATGTTGATGTTCGGCAGGATAGCACTGTGCGCCGGGGTGAGGAAGGCGAGCTCAGGAACATCGCACTGGGCCTTGCCGTAGAAGTAGTCGCAATCCAAGCCGTCCGCATAGAAAGGCTTCACGTCGTGTTTGAGAGCAGACGTGGGCACTATGACCTTGGAATTACCCGTGTCTGGTCCCTCATATCGAATCTTGAAGGCTTGCCCGCCACTCTTCTCGCACATGTCAACGACTAGGTGGTGGACACCTGGTCCAAGGAGCTTCTGATGGCTTGACCTTTCGCGCTCGGGGTGGCAGCCGTTGTTGTCGACGACCTTCTCGCCGTTCAGGTACAGGAGAGAACCATCGTCGGAGGCGGTGTAGAACTTGTAGTTGCCCGAGTTCTGGGTGCTCAGATAGCCGCTGCACCGCATGCAGAAATTCCAGGTTTGGCGGACGTGAGGGAAAGTGTTGCCACTGTGAATGTTCGGCAGAACTGCGCTGTGCGAGGGGGTCAGACGTCCGAGGTCCGGGACATCGCACTGAGCCTGGTCGTAGAAGTAGTCGCACTCGAGGCCGTCTGCCAACCGCTTGTGTTCGTGTTTGAGAGCGGACCCGGGCACCGTGACCTTGGAGCCACCGGTATCTGGTCCCTCATAGCGCATCTTGAAGGCCTCGCCCATAGAATTCTCGCACATTTCTACCACGAGCTGGTGAGTACCTCCCGAAAGGAACTTGTCCTCGCTTGACCTCTCACGTTCACCGTGGCAGCCGTTGTTGTCGACGACCTTAGCCCCGTTCAGGTACAGCAGAGAGCCGTCGTCAGAGGCGGTGTAGAACTTGTAGTTGCCCGACTTCTTGGTGCGCAAATACCCTTTGCAGCGGAGACAAAAGTTGTCCTGTTGCCGAACATGGGGGAATTTGCCGCCATGCATGTCGATACTTGGCAGGATTTCCCGGTGGGCGGGGGTCAGGGACGCGAGGTCCGGAACATTGCACTGAGCCTGGTCGTAGAAGTAATCGCACTCTAAGCCGTGCTCGAGTTCGGAGGGAGATGGGGCATTTATGGCAAGTGTAGTAGTGGTCGTGGTAGATGTCGTCGTGGTTGATGTCGTGGTTGTGGTACTGGTGGTGGTGAAGCAACGGGTGCCCATGCTCAGGCATCTCCCGTCCACCCAAGCGCACTGCATGTGGCTAAGCCCATCTGTCACGAAGTATCTTTCGCACTCCGCTTCCGGCTTATCCGCACATGAGCCGGTCACGTGGCTCCCCTGACACTCCACGAGAGGATCTTCAGCCTGAACAGGGCGCTGCTTGCCCGAGGAGGACGGAGGTGAGTTGACGTTGAAGAACCAACCCTCGTCCGGATCCTCCACAATGTTCGGCTTGGCCTTGCTCTTCGTCTCTTGGACATCCCCGCGCGAGAAGTCCTTCAATGCTGCAATAGCCCGGGAGCGACTCGCCAAGGACACGATGTCGTCGGGCATCGCCATCAAAATCAAGGCAAACTGGTCCGCGATGTCCACCAGGTCGATGACCTTTTCCGGGCTCTGATAGAGGGGACCAAAGCCCATCTGCAATCCAAGCTGAAGCACATTGCCTGACAGCAGGCCCGTGACTTTGAAGTTCACTGTGCCAGAGTTCTTGAAGCTAAAGAGCTCGAAGCTCTCCTGGCTCTCCTCGCTTCGGCGGATCACCTCCTCCGCCGCCCTTCCTTGCGACTTGGAGGTGGTGTTCACGCCCAGGTCCTGGCCGTACTCCACGGAGGCCAGGTACAGGTCGTCCTCCTCCGTCTTCCAGTACAGGGACTCCTGCACCTTCTCTTCTTCACTGCGGAGGCTGCGGTTGCTTTCCAGGAGAGCGGATCGCTTGATGGAGACCATGCCGTCTGAACTCTCGCCGTTTGCCTCAGACACGGCGAAGTAGCTTTTCACGGTTTCGTGGCCTCCGTTGATGTTCGAAGCCTTGAAATGCGTGTCCTCGCCGAAACGCTTGGAGAGGCGCAGCGTCCGGCTGAAGAGGAGGATGCCGTTGGACTTGATCTCGGAGCGCAGGACGCTCAAGTCGAGGCCACCCGGCTGAGTTTGCGGCCAGCAGACTTGGGTGTTCACTTCAGCTAACGGCCCCGGAAGCAAGTCGAACTGGATGCCGCCTACGAAAGCAATCACAGGCTGCATGTTCAACTGGAAGGTCACCGTGACGCACTTCTCAATCTGCATGTCCGAGGTGTAGAAAGAATAGCCTTGCCACTTGTCCCAGTTATCCTTCATCCACTTGTTGCTGCAGGGCACAGCCCAAGGCTCCAACTTGACAAAGTCGTCCTCGCTTGCAGCCTGCCAATCCTCCTTGGTCGCCTGGTTGTTGCTCCCCGTCTTGTTCCTGGGCGCAAAGGCCAGGCAGGAGCCCGTCGACGTCTCCCTGCCGTCGAACTGCGTGACCAAGGCGCGGATTTCGGGACCGTAGTCGCTGAAGCTCCAACTCACTGCGGCCTGAGGATCGTCTTCGTCATCATCGTCCCGCTCCTGCAAGAGAACAGCGTTTCTAGGGGCCCGCTGCGAGTGCTTGCTGATGATGAAGTTGGGCGTTTGATGGTGCACCACGGCCGGCGCACCAGCTTTTGGGAACTCACTTGTGGTGGCCGCCTGGAGCAGGGACTTCCCGTTCTTCATGGCTTGGCTGCTTAGGGCCGCGGCCACCTTGGAAAAAGACCCGACGAACTCTTCGAAGATGTCCCCCAGGCGGTTCAAGAAGTTCAGTGGAGGACTGTTTGAGATGATCTTAATGCCGAGGCACTTGACCAGGTCACTTTCCTCAGCGCCGGCACAATCCATGAGTGCGTTGCCCAGGGTTAGCATGTTTTTGAGGGAGTTCGGCTGGCCACCTCCAAGAACTTGCATTGCAGGTATAAGCTGCATGATGTTGCCATCGGCAATTGTCTTCAACGGGTTGGGCAGAAGATCCTGGATATTGCCATTGGCAACTGCCTTCAACGGGTTGGGCAGAAGATTCTGGATGTTGCCATCGGCAACTGTCTTCAACGGGTTGGGCAGAAGATTCTGGATGTTGCCATCGGCAACTGTCTTCAACGGGTTGGGCAGAAGATTCTGGATGTTGCCATCCGCAACCGTCTTCAACGGGTTGGGCAGAAGATCCTTAACGTTGCCATCAGCAACTTTCTGCACCTTGTCGGGCAGCGTGGGCAGGTTTACTGTTTTCTTGCCCCAGTTGAAATCGTAAAGAGTCATCTCTTGTTCCATGAGGGAGACCTTGCAGTGCTGGCGCCCGAAGTTGATTTCGAACGTTCTTCCATTCATGCCAAGGCGAGGAGCATCGTTGCTGCAAGTCGCATCCCAATCGTCGAAGCCTCTCCAGGATCAGGGGCAGCCACGCACCCACGCATGAAACCTCGAGCCAGAACACGCTCTATGCACTAAGCTCTCACCCCGCCTGCCGTTAGAATCGACACGGCCATTTCCACCGTGGAGATTGCGGTGTTCGCCACGAAATCGGCGGCATTCCCCGCCTCTTTGGCGGCCGTGTAGGCCTCGGTCAATGCGCCCCCGGTGAGTCCGGTGCCGTCCAACCTTCAGGGCACGGAGGTTTCCATGGGTCGACTCAACATGGACCACACAAAACTCAGGGTTATGCAGGATCGAATTCAGCTAGCGAGGGTTTAGGTTCTGCGGTGGTGTTTTTTTTGCAACCCCCACGTTTTGACGGCTTCGTCGACTCCCTGGTGGACGTACTTGGCGCCCTCCTTGGCGTACTTCACGCCCTCGTTGATTCCCTTCTCGATGTGTTTCTCTACTCGGCGCCGCAGGCCGGGTATTGGAACCCCTGGAATCAAGCGTTCACGCCTTTGGAGCAGGGATCTCGGCCACTGTCCGGGGCTGACGCCTTCTGAAACCTCCTCTTCCTCCAGCTCCTCCTCTTCTGCTTGCACTGCCTGCTGCGGCTTTTCGTGCGCCTCCGGATGGTACTCCTTGTGCTGCCGCTGGCGAGCGTGCTTCTGGACCACCCTTTTCAAGATGTCATGGGCTTCCTGCACTCTCTCCTCGGAACTCTTCTGCGTCTGCGCCATTGACACTTCTGCTTCATCAGGACCGATTTTCTTCTGAAGCTTCTCAATCAAAGTGCGCTGCTCGCCGAGCTCCTTCTGAGCCATCCCGAGCTCTGCCTGCTGCAACTCCGCGAGGGTCTCAAGCTGGGCGACCTTGAGCATCAAGAACTCCAAGCTCTTGCCTAGCTCGCCGATGGCCCCGCCCTTCTCGCCCTTCTCCTTGGGATCGGGGATGCCGTGAAGGTCCTCAAGATGAACCATGCATGTCATATGGGAGGGTTACACAGGATTGCCAGGGTCCGGAGAGGAAAAGGGCGGTCCTGCATTTCACCGACCAAGGTCTTGGCGAGAAGATCGGTCACGTTCCGGTCCCCTTCCGACAAATTGCTAGCGTCCGGGCCAGTCGTGTTGAGATGGATGCTCGTCAGCTTGAAAGCACCGACCTGTATTTTCAGGGATCTGGATTCTCGCAAATCAGAACGACAAGTAGAAGCACTGGAAGCCAAAGATTAGAACTCAAACTGTTTTAGTTTCCGACCAAGAGACATTCGTAAAACAACAATACATCCAAGCAAGCCATGTCGGAAACTTGCTACAGGAAAGCATGGCCGACCGTTTGGCACCACGCTTCATTTGCTTCGTTAGAGGCAGGAAAGGACTTGAGAACCAACGACTTGGCTCTCTTTAAAAAGTGCAGCTCCCGCCACACTACTCGGAAGCCGCGAGGGCTTCACAAGGAAAATATGGGGCGGAAAAGCTCGATGTAACACGGCCGCATGAGCACAACGCCGTGAGGGTTTACAAGACCATGGTGGGCAGCCTCGAAAGCAGATGCAAGGAAGCTGTACGGCCACGCAACTCGAGCGCCGCGCATGATAACCTCCCGCGACCTTCCAACCTCTCCCTCTCTCCCTCTCTTCCTCTCTCCCTTCTCCCCAAGGCAACTGAACCTGATCAGCTCCTTGCCTTCAATGCCGTGCGAAAAGGATCCAAAAAACTCCCGAAGCCAATCATAGAACGTGCTGTCCACAGACCTGCCGAATACGACGTCCTGCATGGCATCGGCAGGCGCCATGCTGCAAACACGACTTAAAGCGGCGTGTCCGACTTGGGGTGCCAAATAAATAGTAAACCCTGGACCTTAGCCTTCACTGCGTCTCGGAAGCCGATATGCTCCGCCGCTGTGGTAGAATATGAAGAATTGGAGGCGTACGAGCAACCAGGAGCTCCAAAACAACGGCACCAACTTGAAAGCTTTGTCCAAACATCGAAGCATCAACCAAACGCAAGCAAGCAAAATCATGATCATCTAACATCACAGTTTGCCATGGGCGGGAAGACCATCCTGGGTGGTAGCAAAGAACTCAGTGAGCGTGCAACCGAGGATTTGCCCCCTCCCCGCTTGCCCGACGGAAACCATCTCCTTGTTGGGACGAAACCATATTATGGAACATGAAATCATGAAATGCCAAAAAAATCATTCAGAAACGGACGCTAGCAGGGTTCTCAGTTTCAAAACCCCACCACCGTTGAGACAAATTACCTGCGACCAGAGTAGACATTGCTTGCCCTGCTGACCTGTAAACCTGACACAAGAAACAAAGCATTGTCGCAGCTGCTTTTCAACACGAGCAACTCTACGCGCTCGGAACACTTTCCAACGGACGGCATCAAGACCTTCGGCAAGCATCCAAACAGACATCCAAACAGATCGCGGCCGGTTGGCCACGTCAAGTTTATGTGCTGGAGGAAATCTTTAAAGTGTCCAACATGCTCAGATTCCAAGCGCAGCACAGTCCCTTGTAGAAGCTCTTTCCATGTGCAACATCCGCACGCAAAAGTGCATATGCACCACAAGAAAATGGACGTGTCACACAGCAATTCGCAGAAACGCACGGACTTTCGCTTTTTGTTCTTCAAGCAAGGTTGTTTTTGGAAGCTCCTGGCTCAAACCTCTCTCTTTTCTGTTGGGACGTCCCAATTTCTGAACATCTGGCCAGGAACCACATAGTCACATTAGGTTCAAAGTTTACATGACTTGCGATGCTACTTGGCACGTTGTACTGATTTCTGTGAAGCTCGTGCGTCAACCTTTGCCGCCATGATGGTTTTCATATGCTTTCTGTCCATTTGTGCTGTCGGTGGAACTTCCGGGGTCCGTAGTCGATCTCCCATCTTCAGTCCTACTTCTGATGTGCGAGTATGCTCTAGCAGCAATATGGCCAGTGGTCGCACAATGCCTGGTCGTAGGTCCAGGCCCCGAGGACGTGTCTCGGACGATGGATTGTACCGGGAGACTGCCGGCCGAGATTCTATATTTACAGCTGCAGACAATCGCTGGCAACACGAACCGGATGCTACCGAAACATACTATCATTTGGCGGAAACTATGTCAAGCCACTATCATCCAACGCATATGACCTTTTTGGATAATTTCGCAACGCATGTTTTTGAGAATCACATTGGGCCGGATTAACAATCTTAGCTTCGTGCTTGCCCCCACCCAGACCGCCCTAGGCAAGCACTCGGACAACTCCTCTTTTTGTAGCTGCTCAGAACGGCGGTCCTCCCTCGGCCTCCGTCGAGCCGCCGTTAGCCAGTCGTCTGGCTCAAAACTTTCTGCCCACTAGCTCCCCAATCGCAGCCCGCCTCTACAGGTTGCGGGGCCTTTACATCAGGAGACTTCGGAGCAGCCGCAATTGGCGGCGGTCGGATTTCAGTGCCACCTGGAGAGATGGGATAAACAAATAAACAATCGTAGGCTTGATCACTTAGAAGCCCTTTCACCCGGAGCTTGCAAGACCTCAGGAGCAGCAGCCACTAGAGCATGAGAGCAAGGGTCATGGGTGGGATCCGATGCCGATGCAACCAATGACCTCAAAGCTCTCTTTGAAGCTACGGGACTTTCAGACAACCCCTACGCCTGACCGGCTACCACTTTTTGACCTCGAGGGCCGATTTCCTGCAAATTGTGGCTTGACCTCAGAATGAACAGCCTGAAATGGGGACAAAGCTCTCGAACCAAATACATGAGCTTGGGAGTTGGGCTTCGTGGTAGATTCAAGTTGTAGACCTTCCGACGTCAAGCGCCAGGCGTGTTCAACTCCCGACCCAGATTTCTTCTCACCAGACCCCGCACTAGGATCAGCGCCCCCGGAGCACCAGCTGGAGACAGAGGGGTTTGGGAGTTATCCACAATGGGCAGCCTCAGAAATGCATGCTCTACTCTAGCCTCTACAGACGCTCTTGGAGCTACCACCGATGCTGTCGACTCAACTTCCACCTCATCCTCTGAAAGTCACTCGCCAAGTCATGTTGAGCACTCTGTCTCGCTTCCATAGCCTCCAGTCGATCCATGAGTTGCCCCAACAATGGAGTCACCTGACTCTGGAAGATACTTAAAACCTGCCGTTGCACCGCTGCTTCCACTTCCAACCCTCGCTTACATACAATTGACTCTTACCTCAGCACCAGGCTCATCAACGTCAGCTGCGGCGCGAGCGGTACCCCTGATCTGCATATCTTCCGCCCTCCGGGGTCTCCTGAACTCAACAGGATCGTCTGGCAGGGAGAGCAAGCTGCGAGGGAAGCCGGCTTCCAAGGTGCAGGGTGTAGGGCCTGGGCCCTCCGCCACCCTTCAACGATCCACCGCGAGCGACCTCAGGTCGTCTTGGCACCTGAGCTACCGGAGCTGAGGCGCTACGACGAGCCTCTAAGCTGTCGAGGCGGGTGGAAAGACAGCTCAAAACTCGCAACTCCCGGTGGCGGACTTGAAGCCACAACGGCCACCGGAGTCGAGTCAAGCTGAATCTCCAACCTCCATGCACTGCCGCACGATTGTTATTTCTGACACGCGTGTCGTGTACAACAATCTCAGCTTCGTGCTTGCCTCCACCCAGACCGCCCTAGGCAAACACTCGGACAACTCCTCTTTTTTTGCAGCTGCTCAGAATGGCGGTCCTCCCTCGGCCTCCGTTGAGCCGCCGTTAGCCAGTCGTCTGGCTCAAAACTTTCTACCCACTGGCTCCAATCGCAGCCCGCCCCCCGCGTGGAGTAGAGAGAGCAAGCTGCGAGGGAAGCCGGCTTCCAAGGCGGCACGCCCTTCAACCGCGAGCGACCTCAGGTCGTCTTGGCACCTGAGGGGCCCTTTGTGCTTAAGCTGCCCACCAGGCCCAAGTTAACCCAGTTCCACCCACGCTTCGCTTTCGACGAAGTGGGGCAGTGGCTGTCGGGCGACCCCATTTTAAGGCCCGCAAAACACAAGCAATTCTGGCTTCGCCAGGTCGGCCCTCCACAGTTGCATTCCGCTGGCTGCAGCACTATTGAGGGCGAGCACACAGCTGCTTTGGACAAGTTCCGACCTTCCAAACGGTCCTCCACCAGACGCTCCCCAAAGTCATTACAATCGAGATTCAGCCGCTGTGGGTGCGGTGCAGGAATCAAAAATGGGCTCGTTTCGCGGCTCCAGAAAAGGAGGCCGCGAAATGCAGCCAACCTTCTTTAATATATTTTGACTGCTGGCAACTAGAGAACCCCAAAATCGGAGCCGCTCGGCTATTTTGGTGTCGCGAATTCCTTTGGGGTCGCGAATTCCTCATTCTGGGGCCCAAGCCCAATCCCGTGCGTTCCAGACTGCTGCATCAAGGCGACCCGCCCACAGGCGCATCCAGTGTGGAAAGATCATTGTCCAAGAACCAGAATTTCCAATAAACAGCCTGCCTGCAGCCTGTGGAAGTAATTGACATGAGAGAACAGAGAGCCAAAGTTGATTAAATTATTCGACCCCACATTTGGAGCCACCGTGTGTGCTGCAGTTGGTGCACCAAAGTCAGGGTCGGCGGCACTGATTGCCGAACAAGCGTTCCAGACGCAGTAGCTGGATTCATGGCGCTTCACCTCTTCAGAAGGAGCTCCGCTGCCATGTGAAAAACAGAGCGCGCAGCACTCCGTCTTTTTCTTGAGCCAAAAGTAGAGTCGCAGTTCAGCGTCCTGGACTGTGTCTGACAGTGAAACCTTGCAGCTGTTGTCTCCGAGCAAAACACTTCGAAGCAAAATGAAACGAGACGAAACGAGTGCAGTCACTGTCTGTCTTGAAAGCACTCCTAACAGTTTCAGGCCGAAAACATCAAAACATCCAAGATCATAGAATTTTTAACTTCCAGAATTGAGAAACTGCCTGAACTGTATCTCGTCTGAGGATGCGGAAGACTTTGCTGAGCAACAAGAGGTCTTGGTTGGGTACCAGGCATGTTGCCTGTTTCCTCGAGGCGCCTGTTACGAGCAAGCTTCAGGAAAGCCCCAAGCTGCTCCAAAGTTGTCAAAGATCCATGCAGCAAAAGGTACTTCTTGCAATCATCATGAAGGTGCTTCAAAAATGCAACTGATAACATCAGCTTGCTGCAGTTTGAGGTCTGGGTACTTGGCAACAACGAGCGTGCGGTAGCGGGCAAAATCCGAAATCATAGGATGAAAAATATCCAATGGCCGTCTCAAGTGCTTTGGTGGTGCAATCAAAAGAGCCTGCTCTCTGAGCGCCTGTCCCTCGACACGAGACCTAACAGACAGTTCTGTTCAACTTGCGCCAGAGTTCATGCCCTGCAGCAGCACCACCTTGACTCAACTCGACAAGCTTG